ACTCCCTATGTCCCCAGAATGTGACCGCCAACCACCGGATCAATGACGCAGTCGCCAACGAGGATGGCCCACAGGTTCTGACGGGCCGATTCATGTATGGGCCCCTGGATATGGTCACTCTGACTGGGGAGAAGGTGAGGACATGGGGAAGTTGCAGGAGCCCCTGCCTTGCCTCCCTCCGGCTGGGGAGTAGGGAGTCAGGGAGGCCTGGGGCCCAGCCCGTTCATGACCAGCTTGCCCGGCTCCCAGGTGGATGTGCACATCATGATGCAGCCACCCTCGGGCGAGTGGCTGTACCTGGACACGTTGGTGACCAACAGCAGTGGGCGGGTCTCCTACACCATCCCCGAGACCCACCGCTTGGGTGTGGGCGTCTACCCCATCAAGATGGTGGTCAGGTACGTGCCTCTAGGGAGTGCGCAACCCAAGCCACCTGCCTCTGAGGCAGGAAGAAGGTGTCTAAGGGGTTCTAATGCGCTCCCCTCTCCCAGGGGAGACCACACGTTTGCTGACAGCTACATCACCGTGCTGCCCAAAGGCACAGAGTTTGTGGTCTTCAGTATTGATGGCTCCTTTGCCGCCAGTGTGTCCATCATGGGCAGCGACCCCAAAGTGCGGGCTGGGGCTGTGGACGTGGTGCGGTGAGTGACCCCCAAGGGGCACAGTGGGTGGGCTCAGGGGCAGGAAGCTCCCAGAGGCCAAGCTGGGGAGGACTTTGGGCACCAGGGCAGGGGACGTTTGGCAGTTGCTCACCCAAGAAGTGGGACTCCTAACAAGACAGTGACACCTGTTGTAGAAGGCATCCCTGGGGACTGTGTGACCTGGGTGACTGTCCTCGTGGCTGTTAATGTTTCTCCTTAGCCCAGAGATGCACTCTTCAAGGGCTCAAGTAGAGACTGGCTGGGCAAGGAGACAGGGTGGCCCAGGAGGGAGGATGGGGCCACCATGGGACACCCAGGCCTCACCCCCCCGCCCTAGGCACTGGCAGGACCTGGGCTACCTCATCATCTATGTGACGGGCCGGCCTGACATGCAGAAGCAGCGCGTGGTGGCATGGCTGGCCCAGCACAACTTCCCCCACGGTGTGGTGTCCTTCTGTGATGGCCTGGTGCATGACCCGCTACGGCATAAGGCCAACTTCCTGAAGCTGCTCATCTCTGAGGTGGGTCCCAGGCGCAAGGGATTGGGGCAGGGCTGGGGGCAGGAGGGCTGTGCCGGTGCCCACGCCAATCTCACCCACAGCTGCACCTGCGCGTGCACGCGGCCTACGGCTCCACCAAGGACGTGGCAGTCTACAGCTCCATCAGCCTGTCCCCCATGCAGATCTACATCGTGGGCCGGCCCACCAAGAAGCTGCAGCAGCAGTGCCAGGTAAGCGGGCAAGCCGTGGTGGGCAGCCCCGGGGGACCAGCCCCCCAGAGCCCGGCTCCGTGACGTCCACCTTCCTCACTGCCCCCTCCCTGCAGTTCATCACGGATGGCTATGCGGCTCACCTGGCCCAGCTCAAGTACAACCACCGGGCACGGCCGGCCCGCAACGCGGCCACCCGCATGGCACTGCGGAAAGGCAGCTTCGGCCTGCCAGGCCAGGGTGACTTCTTGCGCTCCCGGAACCACCTGCTCCGCACCATCTCAGCCCAGCCCAGCGGGCCTGGCCACCGGCATGATCGGACACAGAGCCAGGCAGATGGCGAGCAGCGGGGACAGCGCAGCATGAGTGTGGCAGCTGGCTGCTGGGGCCGCACCATGGCTGGCCGGCTTGAGCCAGGGGCAGCCGCGGGCCCCAAGTAGAACACCGTTAGTGAGGCGCTGTGGTCTCCATGGTGCTAGACCAGGGCGGCCAGCCCCGCCAGGAGGCTTGGCCTGGGCACACAGTGTCGACTGGAGACAAGCTTGTCCCAGGGCCTGGCGGAGGACATAGGCCGTGCCACACAGCCCTCTCACCCCTGCCTCATGTCCTAGGGTCTGAGGGGTTCCAGCTTGCAGGAAGACCTGTCCCAGGATGACAGAGGGACCAGGACTCCCCATGCGAACTGGCCCACGAGGCACTCCTAGACATTTGCCCTGCATTGACCTCCCAGCATCCTGATGCTGGGCCTGGGCCCAGCCTGTCACCTCCCATCCACTAGCTCACCCTGACCCCCACAGGTCCCCTCCCACTTGGTAGCAGCTCCACTGGGGGACAGCCTGCTTCTTGTTAACTCGAGTTACTCAACTGTTCAACCTCACTGGTTTTGCACTGATTTTTGAGAGTGGAGATCCATTACCGTCTCCTGTGGCTACAGACATGCATGAAAATCCAGCGTTCGCTAATCTGGGACCTATAGCCACACAGAAGGCTCCAGGGCGGCAAATCCTTGAGCAAGCAGGAGAGAAAGGCCATATCTTAATTTCTGCAGCTCCGCCTGGCCCGCCAGCGCTGTGGCAGCCCCGGACCCCTGCCCACATGTCCACGTGCCCCACCTGGAACCCAGTCTGGCGGCGAGGCTGGTGAGGCCCAGAGCCGGCTCCCGAGAAGCCATGCCTCGGGCTCCTGGGCCTAGCCAGGCCCAGCCTCCTCTTCCACTCCTCGCCCGCCACCAGTCAAGGCCATGTGCCTTGGCTCTCCTGCGTTTCTACACCTTTCTACTTCTCCAATCTGATTTCTATGAGGTTTTTTTAAAAGAGCAATCCTTGGCTGCTTCCTTTTCTTAACTCTTTCAGTACCAAGCGCAGCCCCTCCACATGAAAACACCCAGCACTGTGACGGAGTCCAGCCTGGTTCTGGGTCCTGGGGCCCTACACCCTGCCCACACAGTGGGGCATGGGGTCCCTGCCTCACCTGACCCCCATTAATTCCACTGAATTTCTACTTTGGGGTGAGTGGGGCACACACTTAGGTTTTTTTAATGCCAGTTCCGTTTTGATGCCGAATCTAAGAAGCCACAACTTGCTTCGTTAGCTTCAGGGCAGGCAGCCATGACTCCATTCCCCACCTGGTAAGGACCACAATGTCCTGCACGCTGGGTCTGAGCATCAGCCCTCCCTCCCCAGAACCAACCACGGATCTCAGCTGTGACGCTTGACTCCGGGTGGCCCTTCTGCTGCTCCTCCTCCTTCTACTTAAGGCGGGGGAGCCTGCCTGGCCAGGCTCCGACTCTGAAAAGCTGCTGCCAACCTGGATATGGCCTCAGGGCCTTATGGGCTGGGACGGGGAGGTACACAGATTGATGTTAACATTTTCCTGTGTGTAGATATGTACAGCCAAAGGGTCGTGTAAACGTTCTGCAAAAGTGGGTTTATACAGAGTGAAAGCTATTTATTTTGTGCAGAGAAAAATTTCTGGAGGGATAGGACCTTCAGGGTTTGTTCATATTTAAGATGTAGCTTTTTGTTTTTGTTTCAGGCGTTATGTATAAAGCAACGATTATTTTATGGACCAAGTATTAATGTAAGTGTTGCAATGGAAGTGCAATACCTGACCCCCCCGCTCCCCGGCGGGAAACCGCTCGGCCCGACAATCACAGCCCGGCGAGGGGCCCCTGTGGCCAGTGCCTCCTCCTCTGTCGGCCCCACCTCACCCCATCCTGCCTACCGCCTCGGTGACCAGCCATCCGGAGAAGCACCTGGAAGAGTCTCGGGCCCGCCTGCAATAAAGGCTTGGGAAGCCTCCTGGCCCGGGGAGGCCATGTGGGCAGTGGGCTCGGCCTCTCCCAGCAGGCAGCTCCCCCAAGCTCTGCACTCCCTGCCCAGCTGCCAGCCATGCCAAGGACAACAGCAATAGTCCCCTGGGCCTCTCCCAGCGGCCCTTAGCCATAGATGGTGAGATGGGCAGCCTACCCTCCCCGTTGACATATCTCTTCTATATCCAGGTCTGCTTTCTGCCTCCCTTTAAGATTCCTTTTGGCACATTCTCTTCTTAAGGAAGCACCAGTTTTTCAGAAACTTAGAGAGGGAGGGCAGAGTCCTTTAAAAATACCAAAAATGTTTACAGCGTTGGGTGCTGAGCTGCAGGGCTCAGGCCTGACCAGTCATAACCAAAGGGTGAGGCAGGCCTTGCTGACTGCCACCCCCACCCCAGGCCTGTTAGAGTAGAAGCCTTAGCCCCATTCCCAACCCCAACCCCAGGACTGAGCCTCAGCCTACCACTCCAGATCCAACCACCTGCCTTCTCTTTGATTTCTAAAGAGGGATTCAGCAGAGACCCAACTCCCAATTTTCCCAGCTCATCTGAGCTGCCTGCCTGCCCGCCCACCCGCCCGCCTCGTCGCAGTCTTCACGTCTCAGCCCCCTCCTGTCTCTGTCTGGGCCATGTGTGAGCAGTGTCCTGACTCGCCCCATCCACCCTTGCCACCCCTGCACCTTCGGGCCTGAGTGTGCTCTGTATACAGTGTCATTGTCTGTTACACCAATTAAAGAAGCAGGAAGGCTTCCTTCTGGTCTCTTTACTGCACCAGCAACTGCAGATCACCAGCTGGGGATGCGGGCCCAGGATGGGGGCACGGCCTGTCCTGGAGCTAAGACTGTAGTGGGGAGAGGCTGTCTTTCCTGATAAACAGTGCCCACTGCACTCGCCATGGCTAATACTGATATAGTCACACAAGCCTTACCCTGCCCTGGGCCTCCTCCCAGCCCCTTCGGAGGCCACCCAGTGAGGTGGATGCAGAAAGCCCCTCTGCTTTACAGACGACACCACTAGTCACCTGGGCCAGGATTCCCACCCTGGCCACCTGGCCCCAGCACCAGGACTCTGAATAGTTGTCATCTGCAGAATAAAGAGCAAGTCTGAGGGGATCAAGTATAAGAGCCAAGTCTGGGTCTGGGATGCAGCCAGGGGTGAGGGTCAGGGTCTGGTGTAGGCAGGCTGATCTGAGGATGAGCAGGCAAAAGTGGCTGGTGTGCCCTGTGCTCATGACCACCGACGCCCACCCCACCTTTCCCCCCAAATTCCTGGAGCCCTTGTTTTACCTCTGGAAGTTCATTAGCAACCTTCCCTCCCTTCAGCACAAAACAACAACAAGGAAAGTTTCCAATCAGAGAAAATTTAATATTTGGGAAGTTATGCTTTCAGGAGATGGGGGAACTGATTAGGCCAGTGACCTTGTCCTCCACCCCCTGCATCTGAGAGGAAGCTGGGCCAGAGGCCAGGCCACAGGAGGAAAGGCAAACACCCACTGGGCTTCCTGTTGCCCACCCTGAAGCCAGCCTCCAGGCCATGCCACCAACACTTAGCCAGCAGGGCCCTCAGGGTAGCAGCCCAGCTCGCATCTGGAAGGCCAAGCCATCCCCTCGGGTAGCTTGCTGGAGAAGAAAGTGCAAGAAGGGGACACATCAGAAACCAGAGCTGGGCGTGGACCCCGGGGAAAGGGGTGACACCCACCTTGTTGATCTCTCTGTGACGTTCCTTAGTTACGATTTCCTCTAAGACCTCGCCATCCCCCTTAATGAGCCTGGGGACGGAGGGGAGAGGATGCTGAGCCTCTGATGCCAGAGCGGACCCAGAGATGCCAGGCCTCAGGCCCCCTCCCCTGCGCAGCCAGAAGCTAGGCACTCCCTCCTCCCTCTCCCCCGCCCTTGGGACACTGACAAAAGCTGGGGAGGCTCTGCCATCAGACTGACCAACTGGCTCTTTGAAGACACTCTTCAAGGCCCTCCAGCCCCTGCAACTGCTTGCTCTGGGCAGTAAGAACAGCCTGAGAAGTCCCATAAATGAGTAACTACTTTTCTCTGGTCTCTGGCTTTATACAGCCAGCAGCCATCGGCCCTCTTCCTGAGCGTTCAGAGTGTGTGGGGCTGAGCTTCGCCCCACTGCCCACCTGGTGCGTCCTGTCTCTGGGTCCACCACCTTGCGGATGATGCTCTGCCGAGCATCCCACTCCTCCTTGGTCATGGGCTTCATGGCCTGGATGCGGGACTTCTGTTCATCCGTCAGGACTGCAAGGGGAGACAGCAGGGAGTTGGCAGCTGGGTCTCAGGGAGGGGACCCCTTCCCTCCCGCACACTGGGTGGCACAGTACCTGGACCATCCTCTTCCTCCTCAGCAGATCTGTGCCACTGGTCCAGCGAGGGTCCCGGCAGAGCCTCACCCTGCTGCTGCAGCTTTGCCTTCTCCTTGCCTTTCTTTTTCAGCTGCTTCTTCCTTTTCCTCTTCTTCTTCCTCCTCTTCTTGTCCTTGTGCTTCCCCCGCTTCTTCCGGTCACCACTGGAGGAAGAGGAGGAGGACGAAGAGGAAGAAGAGCTAGAAGAACCGGAAGAAGAGGAGGAGGAACTGGATCGTGGTCTCCTCCGGGCTTTGTGCTTGCTTCTCTCTGTGATGCAGGGAGAAGGTGAGGCTGGAAGGCCAGGAGGGGAAGAAGTAAACCTTTATTCCCTTGCTCTGGCCTCTGGCAGGCATACAGGGACTACTGGGGGAGAGACCCTCCAGGTAGGGCTTTCCAGAGCAGGGATGAGCACTCTCTGGGCCTCACCCAATCGCTGTCTGGCCAGGAGCAGGGCAGCCAGCCCCCAGATCTCAGCTCCGGCTGCACAAAAAGCATCATTACTGCTCCCTTCAATCCGCACACCATGCGCTGGCCCAGCCTCTGGAATCTGAGGGTCTTTCAATCCAGACGTCCAGGTGCTGCGCTCTGCACTCCGCGGACTACCGCCACCCGGGCAGCCCGCTCAGCTGCCTGCGGCTGCCTCCGCGGAGTTCCCACACCGCCTTCCCATTCCCTGCGGTCCTCACCCTCCGCGCCCGAGGACGTGATGATGGCCTTGCGGCCTTGGCTTCTGGAAGCCGAGCAGCTCCTCGGAGCGTCCTTGCTGCTCTTCTTCCTCCTCTTTTCCGACCCTCGGCCCCGGGAGCGGCTTCGGCTCTTCGAGCGCTTGCGGGAGCTGACGTGAGCCATAGCGCCGAGGGCTGGAGACCGGCACACACGCTCAAACGGGGGCTCACGGGGGCGCCTCTTCTCGCGGCCTGGCTCTCGGGGGCCCAGCACTCATCGGCACCTGGGCAGGCACTGAGCGGGCCCCCGCCCCCCGGGACCCTCGGCCCCTTTAAGGGCCCGCCCCCGCCCGACGCTCCACGCCTGCGCACGGCCTCTCAACGCCCGGGCGCTCCGGCGCGCCGAGGAGCCGCCGCCGTTCTCAGCCGCCAGGTGCGTCCCGAACCCCTCGCTGGGCGCTCTTACCCTCCGCGGCCTCGCCGCCCCAGGGAGGGCCCCCGCAGCTGCTCCGTCTCCTCCTCAGCCGCCCATCGGGCGGGACCCTGGGACCCACACCGCGCCTTGCCGTGCGGAAGCGGCGGCGAGGCGACTTCCGGCCGGGACAGTGCTGCGCGAGGGCCGTCCGGCTGGGAAGCGAGGTGCCGCCGCCTTTAGTCCCGAAGCCCCGGGTTCCGTTTCCCGGGCAGCCCCAGAAACGGAGTCTGGCTCGCGCACCTCCCGAAGAGGGAAGCTGGGGATCCAGGCTGGTACCCCCGCCCCCAGCCTCTGCCGCAGCCTGCCCTCGTCTCCGGTCGCCCTTCCCGCGCGCCCGCAGCACCCCCACCTCCCACAGAGCCAGGGCGGGGACCCCCGTGATGAGTGCCCCACAGGCCTGTCCAGAGGGGGCAGCCGAGGCTCCGCGCCAGCTGATTGCTCCCAGATCCTCCCACCCTCCCAGGGAAGGCAGAACTCAAGATTGCAGAATGGAAACCCCTGGATTGCAGATGTACAACCCAAACCCGGCACAGCTGCACCCTTCATCCGATTTGGGGGCTGCCCAGTTGCAGATTTTTCAGTAATAATGACAGCAAACACAGGCCTGCTGTAAAGCACTTTATGAACGTTAAGGCATTTGACTTTCACAACAGCTTTAGGAGAGAAGTACTTTCCAGGAGAGGAAACTGAGGCACAGAGAAGTCATGTGGCTGCCCCACAATCACACCCCTGGACGCAGCAGAATTAGAACTTGAACCCAGGCAGTCTAGCTCCAGGGTCCCTGCTCTTAAGCCCTTAACACCAACTGCAAGTTGCTAGTCGGTGTCTCACTGAATCCCTTTATAGACAGACACCCTCCACCCCAACCGTGGTGCCCAAGGCTAACTCACTCCTGTACTCTGGAAGGTTCCCTTGGCCACTGGGAGCCACCTGCCCTGGAGACGGAGGTCTGGGAACTGACTGCCACCTCCTCACCCCCCAGCCCAGACACACCCTGTGGCCGCACTGATGCAAGGCACAGACTGCTAGATCTATGCCCCAGAGCACTCCCTGGGATTAAGCTGAGGCTGGCCGCCCTTTGAAACTACATCTCGGCTTAGCTCCTTTCCACCCTGTCCTCCTCCTCCTGAAGGTGTTCCCTCAACAAACCACCTGCCCAGGAATCCCTGTCTCAGGCTCCAACAAACCTGACCTAAGACAGCCTGTCTGCCAAAAGAATGACACAGAAGCTTATGTGTCTTTTTGAACCAAAAAGTGCCTGAGGGCTGAGGGAGTTTATTCCTGTCCCACCCAACCCTAGGAGGCAGAGCCCTGGCCTGCCACGCTACCCCCACGTGGCCCGACCTGGCTCAAGTCAGCATGCACACATCCACAGCGGTGGGCTCCTCGCGGGTGAAGCCATCACCGAAGCCCTCGTCGTCGTCCACCAGGTCGGGTTTGCGGCAGCACATGGGGCATAGGCGGTTGCGCACAGCAGAGGCCCGAAGCCAGATGACGAGGTTCCAGCGCTCACCTGTGCCCAGGGGCCGGGCCCCATGCAGCTGGCCGCCCCGGTGCAGGATGCCCTGGCCCACCACATGCTCCACTTCCAGGGGCCTGGCCAGGGCTGACGGCGCCTGCAGACAGCTGGGCTGAGGCCTGGGCATTCCTGGCTGCCCCAGGCCCTGCCCCCTTGGTTACACACACTAACCTGGAAGAGGCCCCCGAAGTACAGGGCACCCCCGGTGAAGGTCTTGCCGAGGGCCACATTGAGGGTGAGCTCAGCATTATCATAGTGGCAGCCTAGCTCGCGGTCCTGGCCAAGTGCGTATTTGACCACGAAGGCACGGTGGCTGTCCAGCCAACCCCCACCACAGTCTGGGTACAGCAGCGCCATCAGTGGCTGCAGGAAGCGCTCCCGCAGTGGTGTCACCAGAGGCTCATCCAGGCCTAGCTCATGCAACAGCACCTGGGAGGGGGGCACCCCCAGGGAGTCAGCAGGGAAACTGACAGGGCCTCCCCCTGGGTCCCTGGGGGAATCTCTTACCAAGGACAGTGTTAACGTGTTGTGTTCTGCAGATATTTCATAATAATCCTGCCATGACCTCACTTTACAGACGGGGAAACTGAGACACCCAACAGGGCCCAACACCTCTCCAGCACTGCAGGTACATCCCCTCAGACCCCAGTGTCCCTGCCTCACCCACCCCATAGTTGTTCATGGTGTTGGGTCTTCCCTTGGGCATGTCTGACTGCTCAAAGTGCTCCAGCTCCTCCAGCAGGGCCCGGCAGAATGGTGCTGTGAACACGGGCAGCCGGTAGATCCGCTTCTCCCCTGCAAAGGGATGGAAAGTCTTTGGCTAGGAGCTCCCGTGTGCGGCTGTCTCCTCATAAGCTGTGTGAGCCTAGGCATGCCTTGTGACTTCCCTCGGCCTCAGTTTCCTCACCTGCACAATGGGGATAACGCGGGCACCCACCTCTCAGGGCTGTTGTGACCATTACTGACAGAATGTGTGGGCAGAAGGGAGGCCTATTCCTGGGCCCCCTTATTCATTCCTGGGGCTTCTCATCCTGCTTCCACAGGTGCCCACATGTCTAGCCTCTAGACTCAGATGTGAGTTCTCATGAGGCCCAGAGATGGGAAGGGATTAGCCCTGTGACATCCAGCAGGCCAGTGATGGGAGCCAAGCAGGGATCACAGCGCCAGCATCAGGCTTTCTCTGCATGGCTCCCCATGAGTGCACTCCAACTGAAGTGCCTCTGTTCCCCACATAGGAAGGTTGAGGGGGGCCATTCCTCCTTGCCGGGCCCTGTTAGGGAGAGGCCAGGCTCAGGATGGAAATGCAAAGACTTCTTGGCAGATGCACCAGTGCCTTGGGATAGGGGGTTTGTAGGCCCCCACATCAGCCAACTCACAGCCTGGCCCAGCCCCACCTGGACAACCTCCACACAATTTCTACTGTTGGGAAGTGGGTGGGAATGAGGAGGGGCCCCCCAGGCTGGGAGGGAGGGTTTCATTCACATTCCATCCTGTGCCTCACAAGAGGCACAAGCTTCACAAGGGAAGCAACACTGTACACCCCTCTCCCCACAGGACCCCCAGACCTAGGAATAACAGCAACCATAAGATAAGAAAACCGTTGCTGCACGCCATGCACCCAGCCCATTAGGCATATTACCTCGCTTAATCACGCTTTAAGAGACGGGTGTTACTTGTGCTCCCATTTCACAGATGATGACACAGAGGCAGAGATTAAGGAATCTGGGAGGGCTGGCACTTCCTGCTGGGCTTAGCCAGTAGGAGAGCCACAGGCAGGAGAGATGGGTCATTTCTGAGCTTGGCGTGGCTTTGTGCCTCTGCTCAAGGCCACAGCAGCTAGCTAGCAGCCTCTCTCCCACAGCTCCAGGTCGTGGCAGGTTCTAGAAACTTCACTCCTGCCCACTTCTCCAGGTCTATGGATAGGACTGTCTGCTCCCCACCCTGCTGTTAGTCCTGGGTCCTTCCCCATTCCCTGCTGACCAATGAATTCAGCACACACGGGTCTCAGTTGTCCCTAACTTCTTCAGTGCCCTCCCCTACTGCCCCCAGCAGGCTCACACCTGACACAGGTACTGAGTATGTGTTGGGCAAGTGAGTAGGTGAACACAGATGTCCTGCTCCTGGCAGGTCAGTCCCACCACCTCTTCTAGCTTCTGCCAGTTTGGGTTTTGGAGGCAGACATGGCGGAGGAGGGACCCCAGTGCCCTGCCCCCTTGTCCTAGTCCTACTAGGTGACGGAGCCAAGACCTCACCAGACACCGTCTCTAGCCGCTGGAGAAGGCCTTCGAGGTCTGCACCTGGTGATGCGCTGTACTCAGCTGCAGCCAAAAACTCAGGGGCCAGAGCCTCATCCTGTAGGCAGAACACACCAGCTGTGGGGCACACAGCCCCCAGTCCTGGATGCCTCCACCTCCTTCAGTAACCTGCCCCTGCCAGGTACCTGCAGTGTGTTGTAGAGGTCAGGCCGTGCCGGGTGGTAGGAGCTCGAAATGAGGGCTTTCCTGGCGGCGGACTCCTGCCCCAGCCGCTGCCGCCGCTCTACCTCCTGCTCAAGCTGGGGTAGCACAGAGCCTGGTTACCATGATGGGTCCTCCCATCCCCCCCACCACCAAGGACATTGTACAGAAGAGGAAAGTGAGGCTCAGGAAGGCAAAAGCAGGGCCTGGGTTGCAAGCTAAGCCTCCCTACACTAACCTGAGTGTATCAGGGTAAACTGCAAGTGCCAAGCTATTAGCTGAAGGAACAACCTCCTGCAAGGGGGCCCATCCCTCTCCGGGTTGCACCATTCAGAGCCTGGCTGGGATGGGAGCCCCTGGATACGGGGAACAGAAAACCAGCCAAGTCTCCTGATCCAGGGGCTGCAGGGGGCTCACCTAGGAAGTTTCCCCAAACCAACACCACCACTCCCCTCACCCCACGCCCACCCCCGTGAGCAAGGAGACAGAAGATGGGTAGCAGCAGCTCTGGCACCAGCCAAAGGGGGTGGGGTGGGTGAAGAGATGAAGAGGCGGGAGCCTGGCAGTCCTGGGCGGGAGCTCAGCTCCACCTGCTGAGAGACCTTGGCACTTTCGGCTTTCTCTTCCTGGTGCTGCAGTGAGGGGCACAGGAAGCGGGAAGGGGAGGCCTAAGGCTGGCAGGACCCCTCCCGCTGCTAATGAGGACGTGGCTCGGCGGCCGGCTGCGTGCGGAGGGATGGTGGAGGCTGGGGAATGTCACCTCTCCCAACAGCTCCTGGAAGTCCTTGGGGCTGACACACCCTCGGCTGCGCAGGATCTGAGAGCAGAAGGTCCAGTCAGCCCGACTGTGTGATCGCGTAAGCAAGTCACCGAACGTCCCCGGGCCTCAGTTACCCTCGGTGAGGGGCAGACGAGCGCCTCGAGGAGCAGGGGTCCCAGCTGCTGCTAGTAACCGCACCCAGAGCGCCCTAAGCACTCTGCACGTATGGTCACGACAGCCCCACTAAGGAGAGAGACTACCCGTCCCTGTCGCTGTCAGGGCTGAGCAGCACGATGTCTCCGCATAGCCAGTGGAGGCCACTCACCCGGCCGTAGTCCCGGAGCAGCTGCTGCTCGCCCTGGAAGCGCACGTGGAGCCGGTAGCGCGCTACGTACAAGTTCTCGGTGCAGAAGCAGGCGCAGCGGCAGAAACGCCGCGGCGTCCGGGCCGTCGCCATGGTGAGGAGGCGCGTGCCGACCCCGGCTTCCGGAGGGGCACTTCCGGCGCGGCCCCAGCCCGAGGGGCGGGGCGGGGCGGGGCGGGGCTCGCCGGCCAGGGCCCGTCCTAAATTCCCGAGTGCAGAGGAGAACGAGAGCTCCGGGCTCCGACGTGTCCCCGGCTCGCGCCCAGCCCGCTCTGTGCGTCTGAGCGCGGGCTTGGCATTCTTCCCGGGTCCCTGTCGTGCGGCGCTCTCGGGCCGCCGCCGCGACCTCGGGATTCGCTCGGCCCCGCGTGACTTCCGGGGCCGTGGCCGTGCCCGAGGACTCGCGTGGGGGCGGGAGCGGGGGTGCGGCCTGCCGGCGGCCGGGGTCCGCGCGGCCGCGATGAGGGATGAGTATGTTGCTCCCGGAGCGTGCGCCCTTCCCGCGGGGAGACCCGGGGTCGCTCCTGCGTACCCGGCCTCGGGGACGCCCCCACCCTGGTCCGCCGCGCACCCCGCGGGCTCGGGCCGCAGCGCCCCGGGAGGACGCTTGGGCGGCAGAACCCCGTTGCTCAGACGGGAGACCCGAGGCTCAGAGTCGGGGACGAAGTCGTGTCCCCCGCCCTGGAGTTCCGCCCCTGGCTCGGCAAGTGCGGGGACGGGGGTGGAGAGGAGGACCCGGGCCTCGAGCCCCCGGCCTGAGCCGGGATAACACCGGGATAACCAGGTGACCGCAGATGGGGACTCCTGCTTGCCAATTGTCCGCTTGTCTCCGTCCGTCCGTCCGTCCGTCCGTCCGTGGGGCACAGCTCGCAGCGAGGCCCTCTTCCGCCCCCCCCCCGTTACGGATGGGGAAACAGGCCCAGAGAGGGGGGCGACCTGCCCCAGGCTCCACCGCCACCGGGGTTCTCTGAGTGGTTGGATTATGCGGGATTCGGATTTTCTCTTTGTGCTCGTTAGCATTTATTTTCTTGATGCTTCCACATCCCCGGGTGTACACACAGGCTTACACCCACACACTCAGACAGACACGCCCTTATGTGCTCACACATGCTCACACACCGTCACAGGCATTGTCATACTATTGACACACTCACACCCACTCAGACCCAACACTTCCCGTACAGTCACAGCTGCATGCTCACTCACACCCGCCCGACACGCTCCTGTGCACCCGCACACACCTGTCACCCACCACGCTCACACATCCAGCACAGCCCTGGTTCCTCCTAGCTCTGTGGTGAATTCAGCCCCAAGACCGGCCTTTTGCTTCTACCGAAGCCGCGGGGCCCCAGAGGGAGATGGGAAACCCTCACATCCTGTGCAGTGGTGTCAGGCCATCCTCTCCCGGTGTCTCCACCAGCATATTTGGGGGTCCAAGTCTCCCACCACCACCTCAGGGGGCTGGGAGAAGGCTCCTGCTCTCCAGGCAAAACCTACACCACCAGCCCGATTGGCTTTCACACTGGCTGGCCAGGGGCAGCAGGACCATCCTGAGTGTGGGTGTTTTGCATGTGAGCTTGTGAAGTGACAAATAAGGTCCCCACTCTTCTGAAGCTCAGTCAAGGTGCAGAGACAGGAGTAAGCAAGGAAACATCCATGATCAAGTTATTTTCACTCAGTCCTAAGCACTGGGAAGACAAGCTAGGTGACGGGATGGTGAGTGCCTGGAGGTGTCCACTTGAGGCAGGATGGCCAGAGAAAGCCTCCCAAAGAGTGACATTTCAGCCGAGCTCCAACCACCGCAGCAAGATCTGGCAGGAAAGGGTTCTAGGCAGGGGAACTAAAAGTGCAAAGCCCCTACAGTGGGATGAGCTTGCTGTGCTTGCAGAACAGCAAGGCACACAAGAGGGTAAGCCCTAGGGAAGGAGGCCAGGGTGGTATTCAGACCAAATCACTGGGCTTAGGAGACCACTGTTAACATTTTGGATTTTACTCTACCTGTGGAGGGAAGCTGCCTAATTCTCACAACGGACATTATGAGGGAGGAATTATCCCCACTTTATAGAAGATCAGAGAGGTTGAATGGCCCACCCAAGGCTACACAGCTCACAAGTAGTGGAGTCTAGAATGCAACAGGAGTCTGTTTCTGTCTCCGTCGGTGCCCCTTCCCCTCCTCAGACAATACATCTAGGTTATTAGCCCACTTCTGGAGGTACAAGGCTTCCTCAAGGGGGGAGAATGACCTTTGAGGGTCGCCTTCCCCTTCAACGACCCAGCTCCTCCAGCCTGGAACTGTGTGGCCTGAGAAGATGTTTAAACTTTCACAGGTGTCTTGATTGCCCAGTGATAGTGAAGGGCCTTGCTGTCCAGGAAAGGATCCATTTCCCCAGTTGTGTGCTCATTATCCCCTGAATTGCCTTCCTCCCCCAGAGGCCCAGGGCAGGCCTGGTCCATGGATCCCCCCCCCCCGACCCCAGTGTCCCCCCCCCCCCGATTAGATTTCTCCCTTTGAGGCAGTTTACAACATGAGCAGGTTCTCAGTTTAGATTGGCTCTCCCTGTGCCCCCCCTCCTCCTTGGAAGCAGTCTCCACTCCTACCCTGCCCCAGCCTGGGCTCCAGCACCAAAGCCAACAGAACCAGGAATATCAATATTAAGTATCGGATCCATGTGCTCCCAACCAGCACTGATGTGTGTTTGTTGTCTGTGCGAGGTATTGTATATTTTTTAAGATTTTTATTTTATTTTTTTTTAAAGATTTTATTTATTTGGGGGCACCTGGGTGGCTTGGTTGGTTAAGCATCTGCCTTTGGCTTGGCTCATGATCCCAGGGTCCTGGGATCAAGTCCCACATTGGGCTCCCAGGTCAGTGGGGAGCCTGCTTCTCCCTCTACTCCTCTCCTGTGCTTATGTACTCTCTCACTCTTGCTCTCTCAAATAAATACAAATCTTTTTAAAAAATTATTTATTCATTTGAGATCGAGAGCCAGGACAGAGGGAGAGGGAGAAGCAGACTCCCCAGTGAGTGGAGAGCCCAGTGCAAGGCTCCAACTCAGGACCCCAAGGTCAGGACCTGAGCTGAAGGCAGAGGCTTAACCAACTGAGCCACCCAGGTGCTCCTAAGATTTTTTTTTTAAGTAATCTACACCCAGTGTGAGGCTCAAACTTATAACCTCGAGATCAAAGAGTTGCATGCTCCACCAATTGAGCCAGCTAGGTACCCCTGTGTTGAGGTATTAATAAATCAATTTTACAGATAAGGCTTGGTGAAGTACAGGGGCCTGTCTAGGGTCACAAACCTAGTAAGTGGCAGAACCAGAATTACAGCACTTATCCTTTTATCTGATTCCACAGTGTATTTGTGTGTGTGTGTGTGTGTGTTTTGGGGGGGGGGAGCGTATGTCTATGTACATGTGCATGTTGCACATATGTTTATTTCTATATATGTATCTATCTGCCTTCTTTTGAATTCATATACAGCACACTTTATAGAAGGGCACATCTCAAGTATACATTTGGTGAATCTTTACAAACTAGCCATAGCCATGTAACCAGCATCCAGATCCCAAGATAGAACATACCAGCCTGCAGAAGCCCCTACCATGTCCCTGCTTAGCCACTACTTACCTTCCAATGCTAATCACTACCCTGAATCCTAAAGCAAAGATTAGTTTTGCTTCTTGTTGATTTTGATAGAAATAAAATCGTAGACTACATATTATTCTGTATACTATTTCTTTCAGCATTCTGTTGTTGAGATTCATTGATGTGGTCATGTGTAGGGACAGCTTATGTTTTTTTCCTGGCTGCCTAGTATTCTCCTAGGTGACCACTCCATCCATTGAGCCATTCTGCAACTGAAGGACACTTGTATTGTTTCCAGTTTAGAGATGTCATGAATGAAGCTGCTAGGAACATTGTAATTTACTTATTGCAGTAAAATATACATAACATAAAATTGACCATTTTAACCATTTCTCTTTTTTTAAGATTTTATTTATTTATTCATGAGAGACACACACAGAGAGAGAGGCAGAGATGCAGGCAGAGGGAGAAGCAGCCTCCTTACAACTGATGTGGGACTCAATCCCTGAACTGGGATCACGCCCTCAGCTGAAGGCAGATGCTCAACTGCTGAGCAACCCAGGCGTCCCCATTTTAACCATTTCTTAAAGAGACTTTACTTTTTAGAACAGTTATAGGTTCACAGCAAAATTGAGTGGAAAATACAGTGATTGACCATATGCCCCATCCCCCCACCCCCAGCCTAACCCCCACTCTCAACATCCCTCACCAGAATGGTACACTTGTCACAATGCATTACTTCACATTGACACAACATTATTATCCCAAGTCCATAGTTCACACAAGGGTTCACTCTAGGAGTTGTATATTCTGTGTTTTTTGACAGTGTAGAATGACATGTATCTATCATCACGGTCTCATACAGAATAGTTTCACTGTCATTGAAATCCTCTCTGCCCTGCCTATTCATCCCTCCCTCCTCCCTGACCATCACTGATCCTTTTACTGCCTTCATGCTTTTGTCTTTTCCAGATGTCATAGAATTGTATCATTGTACAGCCTTTTCAGATTGCCTTCTTTCACATAGTAATAAGCATTTGTGTTTCCTCTGTGTCTTTTCATGGCTTAATAACTGAATAATACTGCATTGTCTGAATGTACCACAGTTTATCCATTCACCTACTGAAGGACATCTTGCTTGCTTCCAAGTTTGGGCAATTATGAATAAAGCTGCCATAAACATCCACTTTCAGGCTTTTATGTGGACATAAGTTTTCAGCTCAGTTGGGTAAATACCTAGAGGCATGATTGCTGAATCATACAGTGAGGATATGTTTAGTTTTATAAGAAACCACTAAGCTCTTCAAAAGTAACTGTACCATTTGCATTCCTACCAGCAGTAAATGAGAATTCCTGTTGCTCCACATCTTCACCAGCATTTGGTGTTGTCGGTGTTTTGGATCTTAGCAATTCTATTAGATAGGCAATGATACCACATTGTTTTAATTTGCAAGTTCCTAATGACATGATGATGTTGAGCATCATTTCATATGTTTGTCTGCCATCTGTATATCTTGTTTGGTGAGGTGTCTGTTCAGGTCTTTTGCTTCTTTTTAAAATTCCGTGGGTTTTTTTGTTGTTGGTTTTTTTTTTCTTTGAACTCATATTTAGTTTAATGAAGATACACAGGTGAACATACACACACTTATTGTTGACCCGACCTAGAGGCAACAACGCCCCAGGAGAAACAACCACACCTAGTGCCCAGATCTTGGTTTCTAAAATCACTTTCCAAAATAAGAAGGGCTTTCTGAGAAACCGATGTTTCACAAGGAGACAAGACCCACAAAACAGACCAGTACTTCCAACTCCTGCTGAGACCCCACCAAGAATCCCTATCATCATTACTACGTTATATTTTGTGAAAAGGTCACATCCTTTATAGCATTAAAAAAAAAGCAAACTACCAGGGGCACCTGGGTGGCTTAGTTGGTTAAGCATCTGGCTTTGCTCAAGTCATGATCCCAGAGTCCTGAGATCGAGCCCCACATGGTGCTCCCTGCCCAGCAGTGAGGCTGCTTCTCTCTCTCCCTCTGCCCTTCCCCTTGCTTTTGCTCTCCCTTTCTTATTTATTTGTTTGTTTATTTATTTGTAGTTCAATTTGCCAACATATAGCATATCACCCAGTGCTCATTCCATCAACTGCGCCCCTCTGTGCCCGTCACCCAGTAACCCCAACCCCCCGCCCACCTCCCTTTCCACTATCCCTTGTTTGTTTCCCAGAGTTAGGAGTCTCTCATGTTCTGTCATCCTCACTGATATTTTCACTCCTTTCCCCTTTATTCCCTTTCACTATTTTTTTATATTCTCCAAATGAATGAGACCATATAATGTTTGTCCTTCTCCGATTGACTTACTTCACTCAGCATAATACCCTCCAGTTCCATCCACATCAAAGCAAATGGTGGGTATTTGTCGTTTCTAATGGCTGAGTGATATTCCATTGTATACATAAACCACATCTTCTTTATCCATTCATCTTTCGATGGACACCAAGGCTCCTTCCACAGTTTGGCTGTTGTGGACATTGCTGCTATAAACATTGGGGTGCAGGTGTTCCGGCGTTTCAAAACTGCATCAGTATCTTTGGGTGTTGTTGGATTTTAAATATTTTTGTGTGTTTTGGATAACAGACCTTTATCAGATATATTTTTGGTAAATACTCTCTCCCAGTCTATGGTTTGTCTTATTCTCTTGACAGTATCTTTGCAGAGCAGAAGTTTTTAATTGTAATGAAGTTCAGCTTATCAGTTTTTTCATGAATCATGTCTTAGATGTTGCACCCAAAAATCATCCTCAGAACCAACAAAGTCTAGATTTTTTTCCTATCTTATCTTCTAAGAGTTTTATAGTTTTGCATTTTACAGTCAGTTCTGTGGCCCATTTTGAGTTAATTTTTGTGAAAGGTGTAAAATCTGAGTCTAGATTTTTTTTTTTTTTGCACATGGATGTCCAGTTGGTCAGGCACCATTTGTTGAAAAGATTGTGCTTGTTCCATTGTACTGCCTTTGCTCCTTTGTCAAAGATCAGTTGACTATATTTGAGTCTATTTCTGACTCTCTATATTGTTCCATTGATCCATGTGTCTATTCGTTCATCGAAACCACACTGTCTTGATTACTGTAGCTTTATAGTAAGTCTTGAAGTTGGGTAGCGTCAGTCCTCAGCCTTTCTTTTTCTCCTTCAATATTGTATTGGCTGTTTTCACACAGCAAAAATAACAGAGCCTGGATCTGGACCCAGCTCTGAGTCACTCTGACTCGTGGATAGTCCATCCAGGATATTTTCTTCATGTACAATCATATATTTGCTTCTGTTTTTGCCAAAACATTAACATACTCCAACTTTATTCTGTCCATTGTTTTCTTTCTTTTTTTTTTCATCCCTTGTTTTCAATCAATTTAGGAGGTCATTCCATACCTTTATATAACCTTTGTATACAGATGAATACATACATACATACATATACTGTTTTTTCCCCTGCCACAGGGTGGTTCTTTTGAGCCGTGCTCTGTAATGATTTGGCCAGTTCCCCCATGGAAGGGTACTTAGGTTATTTTCAGAGTTTTGCTACTACAGTAACTATCTGCAAACTACTATCTTTGCTCCAGATGCCACCAGTCTTCTTTTATCTATAGAAGAAATTCCTCCTGGCTTCTCCCAAATAATGTTTTTTAAAGTCTGACTTTTGCCAAATTCTCCTTGAAGGAGGTTGTCCCACGGGAGTGGCAGAGGCTATTATAAATTCAGAGTGCTTAAAAAAAATAAAAAATAAATTCAGAGTGCTTTAAGCCTTTGAAGGATGGAGAGGTGAGGTGATATGTTGCCCTACTTACCTCCCCTCTGGACCTTGATCCCTACCCGCTTTGGTTCAGGCCACACCCTTTGCCTAGAAGCCTGCTCACTGTTTCCCAGAGTGCCCTTCCCAGCTCAAGTAGCCCTGTGTCATTTTCCATGGCCATACCCAGTTTTATTCCTTTATGGCACTTAGCACTTAATGAAATTATCTTGTGTGTTTACTTGTTGATTTTCTGTCTCCTCTACCCTACAAAGGATGGGAGTTTTCCTTTTCTTCACACTCAGCCTATTCCTAGCACCCAGAACCTAGCAATCACTCAATAGGTATTGCTCTTTCCCCTCTTCCAGTCCCTGTCATCCTGCTGTATTTTTCCTCTATAAAATGTATTCCCTTCCAACAGGTGTAATTTACTTATTATAATATATTGCTTGACTCCCTCCCTAGAGTGCCAACTCCAGGAGGGCAGGGATTCTGTTCTGTTCACTGTTGCATCTCAAAAGCTTAGAATGGCACAAGGCACATCGTAGGTGCTGGACAAATGTTTGTTGGAAGAAAGAGAGAGGGAGAAATTCAAAGAGGGAGGGAGCGAGGGAGGAAGGAGGGAAGGAAGGAATGAAGGAAGGAAGGAAAGGAGGAAAGATCATAACCCCCACCCTCATGGGCTGGCAAGTTGTCCCTCCAGAGGAAAAGACCCATTAAAGAGCTGGCGCCCCCACCAGCTCAGGCCATTTCCGTCGGCTCAGGTTGGGCCCGGGGCCTCCCGACCGTGGAGCGCAGAGCTGGAGGGCGGGGCGGGGCGGGGCGGGGCGGGGCGGGGCTCGGCCGCCGGGGGCGGGGCTCGTCGCGGGTGGGCGGGCGCTAACTCTGGGCCCTCCCGGGAGGCCCCGCCCCTGCCGTCAGCTGGCCCCGGCGCCCGCCACCCCCCCGCTCGGCTCCGACCTTGCAGCCGCGCAGCGCCGGTGAGAGGCGGGGAGGAGCGGCGGGAGGAGGGAGCGAGTGCAGCGCCGGGTGCAGTCTCCAAAGAGCTGCACGGAACCTGCGCTCCTGACGACCCGAGCCCGCTGCGCCCCCTCCCCACGGCTCACCTGGTGTCAGGTAAGGTAACAGGTAAGAGCTTGGCCCCCGGGACTCCCGAACGGGTCGTTCTCGGCCCAGGGTGCCAAGGCGGGCACAGGCAGGGGGCGTCTGGGACCCCTGCCTCAGAGGTAGAGTAGGCTTCACCGTGGAAGGTGGCAGCCTTCTGGGAGCCTCCTGGCCCCTGCCCCTGTCCCCAGGCGCCCTCGGCTGCGGTCCCAGCCCCCCATCCCTGCAGCAGCATCCTTTCCACGCCCGCAGGGCGAATGTCGCTTTTTTTTTTTTTTTTTTAACTCCTCACGCGCCGCTGCCTCTTGGAAAATGGTGAGAGAGCCTTTTGGGGAGGATCCTGGGATGGCTGTACTCCCCCAGGATCGGACTGGCGCGACTTGCCAGGGCTCACCACGTTCCACAGCGGCGCCTGCCCACGGATCCCGAGCGCCCTGGCTGTGGCAGTGTGGCAGAGGCGGCGGGGGGTGGGGGTGGGGATGCGACCTGGGCCTGCGGATCTTGGCCAACGTTTCCCCTCAGTCTCCCGCGTGGGCCAGTGGGCTGACGCTCCACACGCATCCACCCTGGCCGTAGGCTTGTGGGCTTCCAGAGGCTCCTCCCTTATTTCTGGGTCCGTGTTAAAACAGGATGCTCCCTTCCCAGCTTCCCAGGCCTGATGCCATTTAAGATAGCTTTTAGCTGGTCTGACAGGATTCACCATCTTCTACCCTCTGCCCCACCCCCTGGAGATAGAGTGGCCTCCATCCCTTCAGAGGGCAGGTGCCTGGTGATGGGAGGAGGGTTGTAGGAAGGCCGTGGTAGCTCCCCCAGACTGCCTTCGCCTAGAGCCACGAGTTACCTGAAACAACTTTCCCAAGTCTCTGAGAGGTGCCAGCATGAGATGTGGTGGGCTGAGCAAGGCCGGAGTCAGGCTGGAACAAAGTGGATTCAGCCCAGTCCTGGCCCCACGTCTGGAAGCCTCAGGATGACACCACCCTCTGTTAGCCAGTGTTTGCTGAGCAGTGAATGGGCCTTTCTGTGGCTGGGCAATGACAACTTTGGGGTGAAAAGTTTACCAAGTGAGGCGTGAACCAAGCTGCTTGGGCCACCTAGATCCTTGAGGACCCTTTTGTCGTGGTTCCCAAGTAGCCTGGACACATCCCACCCAGGAGGTCCAGTGTTAGATTTCAGTCCTGCCTTTGCCTTTTCTCTGCATGCCGCTTAACCTCCCCAGGCCTCTGCTTGCCCATCTGCAAAGTGGGGGTGATTAGGTGAGGACCTCCCACAAGAGTGGTGAGGATGAACTGGAATGGGAGGTGCCGGGCACTTGGCCCATTGTGTGGCAGTTTGTAGCACGCCATAAATGGTAGCTGTTATGATTGTAATAATTGTCATTTATTACCTCCTGGGTGTTGCAGACTTTCCCTCTGTGCAGCTGACAGCCAAAGGTGCCCCAACCGCCATTTCTGCTGAGATTAAAAGCCTTTGGCAGCTCCTCCTGTGGGGATAGGGTCATTTGCTAACTCTGTGCCATTCTTTAGCATCTGGGAGCAAGATGAGTTGCCCCTGTCTTCCTGGGCTTGTCACATCTTGGGCAGTGCCTGCTCTGGCCTCTGGCCACCACCTTGTCCTTGTCCCTCAGGCCACTCTTGTCACCCATGTGCTCACACTTTGCCCTCCAGCTCCACCTGCCTGAGCTCAGCTGCATCCTCCAGGTCAGGCAGTGGGAGAGCAGGCAAGGATGTGTCTCCAAGCAGCCCCTCCTCACAGTCTTGGCTGGTGGTCTTGTCCCCGTCACCCTCCTGCTCAGTAACTTTAAAAATAACAGAGTCGCCTGTCCCTACTGAGGGCTGTAACCTGAGCTGAGTTGGATTCTGCTCCATCAGAGACTAGAGCACAAGGACTCAGCACTTGGGAATATGGGACCCTGGTGCTCTAGCTGCTCTGTCCTCAGCTTGCTGGGTGACTGCAGACAGGGTTCACTGCCTTTCTGTGCCTCAATTTCTCCATCTGCATGCTGTGGTTCAGATAGTCTGTGGCGTTGGAGTGTGAAACTCTGCTTATTCCAGTGAAGATAAACAGCTGAGGTCCCCATGTTGGTGGCTGTCAAATGGGATTGACATTACCCCAAGTGGAGGGGTGTTTGCTGGAAAGGAACTCCCCCAGTGACGAGGTGTGGGGACAGGAAGTGTGGGCCAAGTCCCTCAGATGGTCTCTTTCAGAACTGCCTCCTGTCCCACATCTGAACCCCTAGCTCCCTTCCAGGGCCAAAGAACTCCTTGTGCCCACCAAAAGGTGAGTAACAGCCGAAGTGGCTGGCAGGGCCTGGGTAGCAGGCAGTGGGTTGGCCAGGAGGCCTGGTGCGGCTCCGGGCCAGGAGCATCCCTCCCTGGGCTCCGACTCAGACTCACCTACTCGCTGGCTTCCTGAGGCCTCTGCATTGCAGCAGATTGGAGTCTTTGCTAGCAGCCCAGCTGGGCTTGGGGTAGAACAAGGGACTGGGCAGGTGGTGTCTGCTTCCCCCGTCCCCACCCCTGCTCCATCCCCTACCCTTGGTCCATTCGGCCCTGGCTTCCCTTGAAGGGTGCAGCTGCTGACAAAAGAGCCTTCTCTGGCACTGACTTGAGTCTACCTGGAGGTGCTGGGTTCTAGGCGGGTCCCAGGTTTGGGGACTGTCATGCCCCTGGGTCCTTTCTGCATCTCAGACCCGCCCACCTGGAGCAGCATCATTAGAGGGTCTTGCCTACCCCTGGAGAGGCTTCTTTGAGGCATTAGTGTTTTGGATTTGAGAACACAGAGTTTGGAACTTCACAGCCTGGGTTCACATCCCAGCTCTGCCACTTCCTAGCTGTGTGATCTGGGACAGTTCACTTAACCTCTCTGTGCCTCAGTTTTCTTGATTGTAAAATGGGAATAATAAGAAAACCTACCTCACAGGATTTTTGTGAAGATTTATGCATTTAAATTTTTATTTATTTATGATAGTCACAGAGAGAGAGAGAGAGAGAGCGGCAGAGACACAGGCAGAGGGAGAAGCAGGCTCCATGCACCGGAAGCCCGACGTGGGATTCGATCCCAGGTCTCCAGGATCGCGCCCTGGGCCAAAGGCAGGTGCCAAACCGCTGCGTCACCCAGGGATCCCGATTTATGCATTTAAATCACTCAGAACAGTGCTAAACACACGTTTACATCAGTCAGGGTCAGTGACTGGTACTGTTGCTGTCACTGTTACCCTTATCACGGATGCCAGCCACTCTGCCTCTGATGCAGATTCTATTTTCCTTTGACAAACACTCCTTATCAGCACTAGCAGAGGGAGAAGCAGGCTCCCTGTGGGGAACCTGATGTGGGACTTGATCCCAGGACCCCGGAATCATGACCCGAGCCAAAGGCAGACACTCAACCACTAAGCTGCCCATGTGCCCTAGGACTTGATATATTGGTAAGTGTTTTAGCTTAATAGTTTAGACCCCAGATTCTGGAGCCAGAAAGCTCTGGGTTCAAATCCTGGCTCTGCTACTCACCAGTTGTATGATCTTGCACAAGTCTGTAACTTCTCTGGGATTCAATTTCTCTATCTGCTAAATGGGGATAACGATAGTACAAATCTCACAAATTGTTGCAAGGATTAAATAAGCAAACACATATAAGTGCAAGGCCTGTATAAAAGGCCAGGCCTGGGGCACCTGGCTGGCTCCATCGGTAGTGCATGCAACTCTTGATCTCAGGGTCGTCAGTTCAAGCCCCATGCTGGGCATGGAGCCTACTTAAAATAAAATAAAATAAAATAAAATAAAATAAATAAAATAAAATAAAATAAAATAGAATAAAAATAAAATAAAGAATAGAATAGGGATCCCTGGGTGGCGCAGCGGTTTGGCGCCTGCCTTTGGCCCAGGGCGCGATCCTGGAGACCCGGGATCGAATCCCACGTTGGGCTCCCGGTGCATGGAGCCTGCTTCTCCCTCTGCCTGTGTCTCTGCTTCTCTCTCTCTCTGTGTGACTATCATAAATAAATAAAAAAATAAAAAATAAAAAAAAGAATAGAATAAAAATAAAATAAAATGAATAGAATAAAAATAAAATAAAATAATAAAATAAAAAAGAAAATAAATAAAAATAATAAAATAAATAAAATTCTATTTAGAAAAAAATTTTTAATTATATAAAAGGCCAGGCCCATGGAATGCCTGGGTGAATAAAATTTATTCATGAGAGACCCAGAGAGAGAGGCAGAGACATAGGCAGAGGGACAAGCAGGCTCCCTACAGGGAGCCCAATGTGAGACTCCATCCCAGGACCCCAGGATTACTCCCTCAACTAAGGGCAGATGCTCAGCCACTGAGCCACCCAGACATCCCCCAATAAAATCTAAAAAGAAAAAAAAAAAAAAGGCCAGGCCCACAGGAAGGGCTGTGTTACATAACTGTTTGCTTATACTTATTAGGCACCTGATGTGTGCCAGGCATGCAGTACAGAGGTTGAGAGTTAGGTGGTGGGATCTTTTACATACTGGCTCAAGTTCTGACTTGGGCCTTTGTTGGCAGAGTGATATGGGGCACATGCTTTAGCCTCCCTGTGCCTCAGTTTCCCCAACTATATATGGGAATGTGGAAACAACTGTCTCATGGGATGTGTGGGGTTTCTGTCATTCCAGAACATGAGCCAATAGCCTTTGGGCACCAGAGCTGACCCTTTCCCAGTCACTACTCAGAGTGACTGCTCCTGGTGTTCCATGCCACCCCTCTCCACTTGGGGACTCCAGAACTTTGCCCACTTTGCAGATGGGAAGACAAAGACCCCAGGAAGAAAAGGGATGGACCCAAGTAAAGAGGTAGCACTCAGAGGTGCACCCACAGTCCAGTCTCCATCCTGCCCTGGATAGACACCACTTCCAAACTTGCCACCAGGCCCACATACTATGGTATACCTGCAGCTTCTGGGGTCTCCAGTACCTCTAGGTACTGGCTCAGTACCAGAGGGCCCAATGTGGAGGGTTTGAACAAAGTGGACATCAAGCTCCAGAAAGCCAAAAGGGCCTTAGTCTGGGGGTGAAGGGCAGCCTGGGCTGAAGGAAGATATTCTGGAAACTTCCAGGCAGATACAAAAGTCCCTGGATTGCTCTAAGGCCTGCAGCCACCCCCTATCTTGGTCTGAGAAAGTAAAAGTTCGTTTGAGGAGATGGAAGGCCTGATTTAGGGAGGAGAGAAGTAAGCAAACATTTATTAAGCACCCACTGTATACAGTGGTAACAATCAACAATTATGTGCCAGGCATTGTGCCCAGAACAGATGTTCATGCACTGAAACTCATGCTGTTTTAAAAATGAGGAAACAGGGATCCCTGGGTGGCGCAGCGGTTTGGCGCCTGCCTTTGGCCCAGGGCGCGATCCTGGAGACCCGGGATCGAGTCCCACGTTGGGCTCCCGGTGCATGGAGCCTGCTTCTCCCTCTGCCTGTGTCTCTGCCTGTGTCTCTGCCTGTGTCTCTGCCTCTCTGCCTCTCTCTCTCTCTGTGACTATCATAAATAAATAAAAAAAAATTAAAAATGAGGAAACAGGTTCAGAGGAATTAGTAGTCATGTATTGTAGTACAACTTATGCTAATACTAGTAGTAAAAGCAGTGACCATTTATTGCCCTCTTGCTTACCTCTATTTAATCTGAAAAATCCTACAGATGCCCACACCCTCCCCTCCCTGACCCCGTGGGGTCCTTGCTTCCTTCAAGCACATCAGCATACCCTACCTCAGGGCTGTGGCACCATCTGTTCCTCCAGCAGATGCTTTCCCCCCAGATATCCACGTGGTGGACTCCCTCACCTCCTTTCGGTCTTTTTTTTTCTTTTTTAAAGATTTTATTTATTTATTTATTTATTATTTATTTATTTATTTATTTGAGAAAAAGATAGCATAAGCAGGGGGAGAGGGAGAAGCAAACTCCCCACTGAACAGGGAGCCCGATGTGAGGCTCAATCCCAGGACCCTGAGATCATGACCTGAGTCGAAGGCAGACGCTCAACCAACTGAGTCACCCAGACACCCCATTTCTTTTCAATCTTGTTCAAGTGTTATCTTTACAGCGAGGTCTCCCTGAACCCCCAATTTATAATTGCTCTTACCTACCTATCACCTCCCATCCCCTGCACCCCATTCCTCCCCCAGCCCTTATCTCTTAACATACTGTTTCATTTACTTATTATGTCTCTCTGTCTCTGACACGGGTGTATCATCTCCACAAAATCAGGGATCTTTGGTTTTATTCATTGTTAAGTCCCAAAACAAAGAATAAAGTCTGGTCCATCCAATAAACATTGGTACTCCATAAACATTCCTTAAATGAATGGGATCTTCACAACAGTCCTGTGACTTCAGTACCCTTGTCATTGCCATCCTACAGATGAGACCGAGGCACGGAGGTTCGAGTGACTTGCTCACAGTCACATAGCTAACAAGTCACAAACTTGAACTCCTTGCCCTGTTGCCCCTATAGGTCTGGCCTCATCCCATGGACAATGGCCTTGCCCCCATGAGCTAGAGCCCACTCCTCAGCACCTGCCCACCGCCAGCCAGCAGGATGCAGCTGTGGAAGGCAGTGGTGGTGACCCTGGCCTTTATGAGCATGGATGTCGGCATGACCACAGCCATCTACATCCTTAGCCACCTGGACCGCAGCCTACTGGAGGACATCCGTCATTTCAACATCTTTGACTCAGTACTGGACCTCTGGGCAGCCTGCCTATACCGCAGCTGCCTGCTGCTGGGAGCCACCATTGGTGTGGCCAAGAACAGCGCCCTGGGGCCTCGGCGGCTTCGGGCCTCCTGGACAGTCATTGCCCTCGTATGCCTCTTCGTGGGCATCTATACCATGGTGAAGCTGCTGCTCTTCTCCGAGGTACGCAAGCCGGTCCGGGACCCGTGGTTCTGGGCCCTCTTTGTGTGGACATACATCTCGCTCGCTGCATCCTTCCTGCTCTGGTGGCTGCTGTCCACAGTGCGGCCGGACGCCAAGGCCCTGGAGCCGGGGACAGAGGCTGAGGCGGGGGGCTTCCCTGGGGAGGACCGGCCCCCACGGGAGCAGGCATCTGGGGCTACGCTCCAAAAGCTGCTGTCCTACACCAAGCCTGATGTGGCCTTCCTCGTGGCGGCCTCCTTCTTCCTCATCATGGCAGCTCTGGGTAAGTGGGGAGCGAGGGGGCCTGGCACATACCCAGGAAAGTGATTTAGGAGGTCCTAACCACCGCTTACTTCCTCTCAGATCTTTAACGTTTTATTCACATGGTTGAAACATCAGATTGGTGTGAAAAGGTAAATATTGAGAGTTTCATCCCTAATTCTGCCTCTGACCACCCTGATCTCCCTGCCTACGGCTAACTACAGGAAAGTGTTCGGGAAGCTTCCACGTGGGTGGAAGACGACTTTTATTCATTCCTTGTATATTCTTCCAGTGTTTCCAGTGGAAGCTACAGGTGAAAACAAACCTGTTAATCTCACTACCTCTCACATGGTATTTTGTGTCTGTTTTTTTCCACTTAACAATATATTTTAGAAATTTCCAATCACTGCCTCATTCTTTTATTTGGCTGTATAATAGTCCACTATAAGGCCATATCAAAGATTATTTAGTTGGTCTCCTTTTATTGGCCCCTTGAGTCATTTTGAGTCCTTTCTCTTGCAGTAAAATAATGTTGTCCATACACATGTAAATGTGGGTATAATTGTAGGATAAATTCCTGGAAGTGGCATCACTGGGTCAAAGCATTTTTTGTAACAAAGCAGAATATACAAGAGATTGTCAGACTATGTAGTCCGTAGTAAGAGTAAGTACTGTTTGGTGAAACTTTTATGTTAGTTACATGTGCCTCTCTATGTACGTGTGTCCTGGTTTGTCATGTAAAATGTATTTGTTACTATGGCTCTGGCCCAAACAGTGTGAGAGCACTTGCTTGGACAAGGCGGGTGGGAAGGTGACATCTCAAGGTCAAAATGCCATGGGTTTGAGGGGCAACAAGTTCTGGACATGCATTGTAGTCCTCTTCCTTACCTGGCTGTGTGCCTGTGGGCAAGTGATTGGACCTCTCAGAGTCTTGCTTCTGTGAAATGGGGATTGTTAGCATCATCCATGTTTCATGACATTGGAAAGCTTGAATAAAACATATAGAAGGACAGGTACAGAGCTTGGTACGATACAGCAATTGCTCAGGAATGTCAGCCTTTTTGAGTTGTTATATATTTAACAGACAGCATCTGGGAGCAGCCCCAAAGCCAGAATGTTCTCAGAGAGGACAGGCAAGCCCCAGAGTTGCCCCTCTGCCCTCTCAGCCCCAACCCCTCAACCGCTGTGTGGTTTTATGCAAGTTACTTAATCTTGCTAGGTCTCAGTCTCCTCATCTATAAAATGGGCATCATAAAAGTACCCAACACAATAGGGGCTTATGAGGTTCGATAAGTTAATATGAATAAGACACTGCATACAGGTCCTGGCACATAGAAAGTTCCCAATAAATTGTAGTGACTGTGGGTATTGGGATGACCCCTTTTCATTTAACAAGATAGTTTCTCCCACTCATGTTTCAAGGTCCAAATTGTCTCCTCCTCCGAGAAGCCTTCTTGGAGTCTACTGATTGTGACCTTTTATCTGCACCTTGGTTGTAGCACTGGTGATGTGAAAGTCATGTGCCTACTGTCCTCCCTCCATTACCAGGCTTTGAGGCCCTTGGAGTCCCCCCACCAAAACCTGGCACAGAGGCATGCTGACTGAATGAAGGAACACATGACCATCCTGCCTATGTGGGCAGATGTCACCCATGACCTCATTTCCCCCCTCCTGCTGGGGCCCTGTTGTCAGCTGCTGTGAGCTCGGGGAATAAAGATGTCCTAAAATACAGCCTGGCAGAGTTTGCCAGCCTGTAGGATTGCAGCGAGGTTAAGGGCTTGGACTTGAGATCAGGCCCCCAACTACACTGATAACTTGAAGCAAGGTTAGTGAACCTGGCCACACCTCCATTTCTCATCCCAAAAGTGGGGTTTTGTTGGGCTCTTGTGAGAGTTAGGTAAGCTGTAGCATGCTGCTCCACACAGGTTAGGGACTGTGACTGTGGATAATTATTCTCCAACAACAAGCACCCAGGTGGGGCCAGCTTTTTCTGAAACCTCCTAATCTAAAAGAAAAACTGCCCATTGTGACAAAAGGTTAGTTTTAGTGCAGAGCATCTCCTATTATTTTTTTAAGAATTTATTTATTTATTCATGAGAGACACAGGCAGAGAGAGAGAGGCAGAGACCCAGGCAGAGGGAGAAGCAGGCTCTCCATGCAGGGAGCCCGATGTGGGACTCGATCCCTGGTCTCCAGGATCACACCCTGGGCCAAAGGCAGCGCTAAACTGCTGAGCCACCCAGGCTGCCCATGAATATCTCCTATTAAATTGAAATTCTTTATTTTTATTTATTTATGATAGAGAGAGAGAGAGAGAGAGAGGCAGAGACATAGGCAGAGGGAGAAGCAGGCTCCATGCACCAGGAGCCCGACGTGGGATTCGATCCTGGGTCCCCAGGATCGCGCCTTGGGCCAAAGGCAGGTGCTAAACTGCTGTGCCATGCAGGGATCCCAAAATTCTTTTTTTTTAATAGAAATTCTTTTATATGGATTTCACAGCAACCCCAGTAGAAAACCTTGAGCAAGCGACTTAACCTGAGCCTTGGTTTCCTCATCTTTAAAATGGGAAGAATGATAATACCACACCTATGGGATTGTTGGAGGGCATTTGAGTCTTGGAAGAGATGAGGGAGCAGATACCCAGGTTAACGATGCTCTAGGCAGAGGGAACAGTCTGTGCAAAGGTCCTGAGGCAGAAAGGTGCCTATTTGTGAAAGGAATAACAAAGAGGGGATGCTTGGGTGGCTCAGCAGTTGAATATCTGCCTTCAGCTCAGGGTTGTGATCCCGGTCCGGGGATCTAGTCCCACATCGGGCTCCCTGTGAGGAGCCTGCTTCTCCCTCTGCCTGTGTCTCTGCCTCTCTGTGTGTGTCTCTCATGAATAAATAAATAAAATCTTTAAAAAGGGGTAGGGGGATAGCAAAGACGCCAGTGTAGCTGGAGGGAAGTGTGTGGAGGGAGTGGAAGAAGCAGAAAGAGAGTAGAAGATGAAGTCGAGGCAGTAGCAGGTGCCTGATCATGTAGTGCACCATTGGCCACTCTGAGGGCTTTGGCTTTTACCCTGAATGAGATGGATGCCTAAGGAGTGACAAGGTCTGACTTGGATTTCATGGGGCCCTGCTGTGTGTCGAGTGGAAAATAGACTGGTTTCTGTTGGATTCTGGAGATACTGTTGACTCTTGAACAATGCGGGGAGTGGTTGAAACCCTCACATCTAACTTGACTCCCCCAGGGCTTAACTACTAGCAGCCTACCGTTGATCAGAAGCCTTACTGATCACATAAACCAGGAGATTAGCATGTATTTTATATGTTCTATGTATTATATACCCTATTCTTACAATAAAGGAAGCTACAGGAAAGACGTTACTAAGAAAAATCATAGGGAAAATACATTGACAGTCCTGTACCGTATTTATGGAAAAAACCCGCGTGTAAGCGGTCCTGCGCTATTCAAACCCATGTCATTCAAAGGTCAACTGTATTTTGAAGGTGAAGCCACAGAATATGCCAATGGATTGGAGTTTCCTGTGATTCTTGTGCAGATTCAGCAAGGGTTTGTGCACGTGCTCAGTGCAGTTCCCATTACCCAGGAAGGGCTCCGTTAAGTGTCTGTTGTGCATAATGTTATCATGGGTGTTGGAGCTCTTCTTTCCTTCCTCTTTCAACTGAGGCTGAACTTTAGCTCCTCCGGTGGACTCCACAGTGGAGGTGAAAGACGCCACCTAGAGGAGGACTGAGGGGACCAAGGCTTCTACGTTCCCACCCTGTGGTCCCTGCACCAAGACCAGCAGAGGGCAGCAGAAGCCCACAGAAGGCAGAGCCGGTCGCGCACAGCTGTCCAGGAAGGGGCAGGCAAGACCTGCCCAGGATTCATTCACTGACCCTTACTGAGTGCCTACTGTATGCCAGGTTGTACCCACGGGAAGAACTGTAGTGACCGTGAGGACACGGCCTGGTCTGACCACCTTCAGATCCATGTCCCTCATTCCCACAAGATGAGAGCAAGCCTTTTGGATTGTTGGGAGGGAAGGGATAGGAAAGAGCCCCCAAATGGGAGGCCAGTTTGGGTTTGAGTCCTGGCCCTTCCTTTTACCACCCTGTGCTGTGTGACCTCAGGCAAATTATTCAGCCTCGGAGTCTCCGTTCACTTCTGAAATGGGGATGATGTCCTACTCGCCCCCTCTTCCTACCCCACCCAGCCTGCATTGTCCTGAAGATAAGGTAGGAAAAATGGGTACGAAATAATATGGCAAACTGTAAGGCACTCCACCAAGAGGGGCTGGGTGGCAACTTCCAGCATTGCTTAGAACCAGAATATCCACATATTCTGAGGTTCTAGAATTTGGATTCTGAGCCCTTCACCAGTCAGAAGGAAGTGAACTTTGGCCATGTGGCCCAGTGAGCATCACCTCATCTTTCAGCTTCACTGTCTTCATCTATAAAATGGAGTGATAATGGGACCAGCTGCAGAGTCCTGCAGAGGGAATGAAACAGTGCCCAGGAGTCTCATGGCTGTGTGCTCAGGCCTGGTAGCGTTGTTAACAGGACTGAGCCAGTCTGTATAGATTGAATAACCCTGTTTCCTGTGTTCCTGTTCTCTCAAAAGAGGGGGGCATTAAGCAGTATGGGCCCCCATCCTGCCTCCTGCCATGGTGAGAAGCAAGAGTTTGCCAGGAGAGAAAACCCCTTCAGTGGAGTGAGCAGAGCAGGTGGTGTGCAGGCTTCCAGAGGCTTGTGAGGAAGGGTATGGGCCCCCCTGCTGCAGATGCCCGCTGAGCCCACTGTGTCCCCTGGCAGGAGAGACCTTCCTTCCCTACTACACCGGCCGGGCCATTGATGGCATCGTCATCCAGAAGAGCATGGAGCAGTTCAGCACGGCGGTCATTGTCATGTGTCTGCTGGCTATTGGCAGGTAGCCTGCTCACACCCCACGCCCTGCCCCTCCAGGCCCGCAGCAGGGGAGGGAGGTCAGGGGCCAGTTCCTAAGGGAAAATAGGTCAGGGTGACCCAAGAAATGCCCCAGGTGAGCCTGTCACTCAGCTGGTCATCGTGGTAACCAGCAACCAAACTGGCTTAGAACCCGTATCCACTTGATTAGAACAATCCCCTCAAGCCATACCCTCTTGCCCCTAAAATTGGCTTTGGTCCTCGAGGGTACCCTGTTCACCCTGCCTGGCTAGTCTCCAAGTAGAAAACAAGGGACAGACTCGTCTGTGCTGTTCTGGAAGGAAGAGGGGTCCAGCTGACAAAATCAGACCCCTAGTCCCCAGTAAACACAGTCCTCTTTGCCCTCATCTTGGGGACTCATTAGGGAACAAGGGAGACTGTGTGGTGGTGCCAGCCCTAGAAAGGGGCTCAAGGTCAGGTCCCTCCCTGTCTCTGCCCTGCAAGTGGCCCACGCCTGCCAGCAGCGGGAGGGGGCAGCCGGGTTATGACTGTTGGTTGTCGCAAGGACGTCGTGCTATATATAACATCTCTTATCTGCAATTAGCTCATTTGCCGCAGGTATTCGGGGTGGCATTTTTACCCTCATATTTGCCAGACTGAACATTCGCCTTCGAAACCGTCTCTTCCGCTCACTGGTGTCCCAGGAGATGAGCTTCTTTGATGAGAATCGCACAGGTTGGTCCTCCTGTGGTCTGGGGTAACTTCCAGGGGGGCCAAGCCAGGGTGGGCTTGTCTCACATTGAGGGATTAGATAGCTGGCTTTTCCTGCTCTCCTGTTCAGGATAGAAGCAGCCCGGGAGGCCCTGCCTGAGGCTGGGAAGCTGGCCTGCTGGCTGAGGTTTGGGTATGGGCTGTGGCCACTGCAGGAGGACCATGGCCAGGCCACCCGAGATCTATGCAGGAGCCAAAGTCTTGCTTTCTGCTGTTCTCTGGAAACCACAGGGCCAGGACTAGCCAAGCCTGTGGCCCGAGAGGCTCAGCTCTGGCGAAGGGTGAGGGGCAGGGTACAGGGCAGAACAGGGAGAGCAGTACAGTGTCCGGCCAAGATCCCAGATTCTGAGACCACCTGGCCCACGTCTCAGCCCTAATTCCACCATTCCCTGACCTAACCTCTCGGAGCCTCTGTTTTTTTCATCTCTAAAATGGGAATAGCTGTAGGAGCTAGTAGGGGGAGTTGGGAAGCTCTTAGCCCAGCAAGAGCTGAAAGTTTCTCCACCCCCATCCCAGATGATTGTTTCTCTCCACGGGTAAGAGAGGATTTATTCCCTATGCCAGTGACAGGGAGGAGATATGGGTTTGGTTCTGGCTCCATCAGGGACAGACCGTGGGGTGCTACCTGAAGCTTCCCTTTCTGAACCTCTGCTGCCTCTCCTGGACTGTGGGATGTGGTGTCACGAGATGCTAGTAAGGAGGGCTGGGCTCAGAGCAGCCCTGGAGGGATGTCTTCTTCCCTCCCCACCTGGAAGGCCAGGAAGACCCCATGCCCCCTGGTGCCTATCTTGGAAGCACCTTAGTGCCCCCCCCCAACCCCTGCCACCAAGCATGGCCCCGTTGTCACACTGGGAACTGAGCTGCCTGTGTTCCAGGGGACCTCATCTCCCGCCTCACCTCGGACACCACCATGGTCAGCGACTTGGTTTCCCAGAACATCAACATCTTCCTACGGAACACGGTCAAGGTCACAGGCGTGGTGGTCTTCATGTTCAGCCTCTCGTGGCAGCTCTCCTTGGTCACGTTCATGGGCTTCCCCATCATCATGATGGTGTCTGACATCTACGGCAAGTACTACAAGGTAGGCCCCACCTTGTCCCTGCTGGGGTCTGCGTGCAAGGCCTCTGAGGGAGGGAAGAGCCTCAGGAGGGTCTGGGGGCGCCACCCAGAGGTAGGGAAGCAGTAAAGGACTCATCCTGTGGCTGTGTCCATGTTCATTCACCCATGGCTTCAGTCATTCTGGGGATCGTCATTAAGCTCCTCCTATTCCCAAGTACCAGGATCCATCAGGGACACAGAGAAGCTTCTGCCCTCAAGGGGCTTATCCTCTAGTGGAAAAGGCAGACAATAAATAACAGTAATAATAACAACAGTATGTAATATGATGAGATGGTAAGTGCTAACGAGAAAAAAGGAGTGAGAGAGAGAGAGAGACGGGGAGCATGGCAGGTGGCTGCCACTTTAAATCGGTCTTTCTAAAAAAAAAAAAAAAAATTGGTCTTTCTGAGAAGGTGACGTGTGAGGAAAGAGAGACATCTCCGGGAAGCGCCTTCCCAGCGGAGGGCAGAGCCAGTGCCAAGGCCTTGAGGTGGAAAGGCGCCAGGTATATCTGAAGAGCTGCAGGGAGGCCAGTGGTGCTAGAGTGTGAGTGAGGGGACAGGGCAGGAAATGAGGGCAGGAAGGAAAGGAGAGTCAGGTTGAGGCCTTTGCAAGAACTCTGGTTTACACTGAGTGCCAAGTGTGCTCTCTTTCTGTGGAGTGTATATTTATGTGGGGGCGGCTCAGGCCCCATGAGCCAGGCCCTCACCCACGATGCAGCTCTGGGAATGCTGCAGGCCTCACTGGCTGTTCCCTGGCACTGCCTCTGTCAGGAGGGTTGGCCAGATGAGCTAGACCCCTGCTCACCCTCCTCCTGCTCCCTACCTTGGTGGGTGTTCCTGAGCTGTCAGGGCCCGAGGCTGTGTTTAGACAGGTGTGGGCGGCTTCTTCCCCAGGGACCAGACCTGAGGGGACAGGGGTCCTCCTGAGCAGAGTGACCAGCTCAGTTAGAACCTTTGGTGCCCGTGGCCTGAGGCCAGCCCCAAAATGCATCCATTCCCCACAACCACTGTGGCTCCTTCTGGCAAAGTCTAGCGCCCAGGAGGGTCCTCTCCCCCATGATTCTGGGTCATGGGCCTCTGTTTCCTCCCTGAGTAGAACGAGCAAATATATGGGTTAGAGCCATTTCCTTCAATCTACTCCCCACTCTGCCCTTCCTGCTTTCCGGCCAGCCTCTGGGACAGGGCAGGAAACCCTGGAGCTCCCCCCATCAGCCCCTTACCCCTCAGTTCCCACCTTCAAGGTCAATTGGGCGAGGCCTCTAGGAAGCTCTCTTTAGCTCTCTTGCTGGTACCTGACTGTGTTGAATATAGCCACCAAGTCATCACCACAAGCCACACACACATTGCCCATGGCCAGACGTGACTCAGGACATGGCATGGCTCCACCCAAGATGCCAGAACACAGCATATGCTTCCGATGGCCTCAGCAAGACTCAAAGGTCATGGGACAGGCCCAGGCATGATCCTGGCCTGGCCTCTCTGGTAGCTTTCCTCAATGGTTTGAGAATCTGAGCATATTAACTCTCACAAGGCCTGAACAGCTCTGACCAGGGGCTGCTTCTAGAACTCTGGTGGACAGCAGCCTGGTGCTCCAACACTTGGGACTATTTCTTGACCATCTATACCTGGTCATACACACATAGTGTGCAGCCAGATTTCACAGCCCCCCACCACCATCTAGAATTTGGCTAGGAGTTCTGGAATTTATGTGCCAATCCTCAGACCCTACCATAATTTATAGTATATTGATAATGTAAATGGCACACCCTAAATAGTTGGTGTTTCTTGTATAGTGTACAACCTAAACAACCATCCAGGGCATTCCTGTCTTATTCCAGCATAGAATCAAGTGTTAAGGTTCCTTTTCTGAGAGGATTACCAAAAACTGTCTGGTTATGAATAACCACCTTTAAGTACTAGAAAAGACTTAGTGATCAGCACCCCCATCCCTCAGGAGCTGGAACCTTAGGAGCTCACCCCAACTACCCAGCTAGAGTCTATTTTCTGAATCTGTCAGATAGAGCTAGAAGGTGATGGGGAAGAATGGGGAGCTTGGTCTCATCCTTTTGTCCTTGGAACTCTGTGCAGAGAGCTGGTACTAATTGAAGGTAGAAAAACCTGGAGAGGCTGAAGGGCTGTTAGATGGTGAGACTGGGGGGATCCCAGGGTGGCTCAGTGGTTTAACGCCTCCCTTTGGCCCAGGGTGTGATCCTGGAGTCTCAGGATCGAGTCCCACATCAGACTCCCTGCATGGAGCCTACTTCTCCCTCTGCCTGTGTCTCTGCCTCTCTCTCTCTCTCTCTCTCTCTCTCTCTGTGTGTCTCTCACAAATAAATAAATAAATAAATAAATAAATAAATAAATAAATATGGTGAGACTGCCTGTTTTGGGGTCTCCTTCTTGTCCCCACTCTTGTCCACAGAGGCTCTCCAAAGAGGTCCAAAATGCCCTGGCAAGGGCCAGCAGCACAGCCGAGGAGACCATCAGTGCCATGAAGACAGTGCGGAGCTTTGCCAACGAGGAGGAGGAGGCAGAGGTGTACTCTCGGAAGCTGCAGCAGGTGTACAAGCTGAACAGGAAGGAGGCTGCAGCCTACACGTACTACGTCTGGGGCAGCGGGGTATGTGCCCCTGGCCCGGGCAAGTCTGACTGTCGGGGGGCGGGACACATAGATGGGGGATCCCTTGAACAGGGCGTGAGTCTGGGTCACCGTATGTTGGTGTCAGGCTGGCTGCACTTGACTTCACTCTGCCTGTCCACAGGTAAATCTTTCTGGAAAAGAATGCACCCTCTCAGTGAATCTCCTCATGGGGCACCTCCTCTTTCCCTCTCACCTGGGTGTAGGGTGGCAGGGGAAACATCTCAAATGGGGAAACATCCTTAGCCCAGAAGGGAGTCACCTCGAAGCCAGCAGGACCCAACCTAGGCTTCACTGTCTGGCAGGTCCGACGTCACAACCACACATACCCCATTAGAGTGTCTGGGTCACTCACTCCCTGGGGATGAGTCATAGCACCTCCCTGGAGAACGGGGAGCACTTGGAGCCTGTTGCAGTCTGTTGGCCACATGTGGGAAGTAGGCATTTTGGGGGGTAGCTGGGGTAGGTATGAGAAGGGTTTGGAGTTCCGGGGGGAAAAGGAGTGATCATCAACCAGGGTACAGGGCAGGCCACCCCTCAAAAGTACTCAGCCAGGAGAAGGGTCCTGGAATCCAGCTCAGCTAGCCAAGCCTCTCAGAATCTGACCCCTGCATGGGTGCCTTTTGTCCCTTGCACAAAGGTACTGTGGTCTAACTATCCATCAATCTCGGTCTCACCCAACCAGGGGCTCAGAGTGGGGAGAGGCAAATATGGAGCCCGAATGGGTTGTCATGGGTACTCAGATTCCACTCCTCTCCCACCTCCCAGGTGCTAGAGGCAGTGGGAGGCAGGGCTCCCCTAGACATAGCCCCTCCTTCACAGGACCTAGTGGGGATAGGAAACAGACCCCATCATCCTGCTTTGCCTGGCTTGCAGTGTGACCTCAGCCAGTGGACCAAACTCCCTGAGCCATGCTCTTTCCAGTGAGGAGGAAAACTAACAGCTCCTGCCTGGCCTGGCTGAGGCACTTGGGTGGGTGTGTGTGTGTGCCAGGACCTTACAAAGAAAGCCTTGTTCTCTGCCAGGTCCCTGGCTGCCTCCAGCTGGGGGCCTCTGTGGGGACCAAGTCCAGGGCCGGGAAGCGGGCAGGCATGAATGACAGCATCTGGGAGGACATCCCTGCCTGGCTGGAATCTGTCTGTGGCTGGGAGAGCACAGTCCACCCGCTCTCACCTGCCCCTGCAGCCTAGGGGGCAGGGCATGGGGGCAGGGCCAGGTCTGAGCCAAGGCCTCCCCCGTGACCCAGGTCCCCCCTTCCCTCTGCCCCCAGCTCACGCTGCTGGTAGTCCAGGTCAGTATCCTCTACTACGGGGGCCACCTCGTCATCTCGGGGCAGATGACCAGCGGCAACCTCATCTCCTTCATTATCTACGAATTTGTCCTGGGAGACTGTATGGAGGTGAGGGGCTGGCTGGGGGAGGGGGTCCTGGGGAAATGGAGGGTTGGGAAAGTGGGTCTAAGAGGTAGGAGATGCACCAGGGTCTGATGGTTGGGGTATTTCTAAGTAGGTGAGGAGAGAACATCATACCAACAATAACAGTAATATTACTGAGTAGCTGCTATAGCTCTGTTTACTGAGCAAACTGGCAGGGACAAGGACGTTTTCAGGAAATGCTTCTAAGAAGACCGTGAGCGGTCTCAGTACTGTCCTGCCTCCCATTTCTCAGAAAAAGCAACTGAGGCTCAGAGAGTTTAAGGGACTGGCCCATCACGTTTGGGGGGGAACCGGGCTCAAAGCCAGATGGGTCTGACTTTAACACACTTTAAAGAAGAAACAGGGCTTGTTTTAGATTGCCTCAATTTGGGTTCCCCCAGGAGCAGACCCTGAGACAGGGAGCTGGGGTGTCCATGCCCAAGCCTCCCCCAGTTGCTGTTTGAGGATGCTTGGAGTGGGGGCGTTAAGTCCCTGGCACCGAATTTGGGCCTCTGTCCTCCAGTGATAAAGCTGAGGACGTGCATGAGAAGAAGGTGTTAGCATCGGCTGTGGATGGCACTTCTCATTGGCTAGAGTCACACCTGCCTGTCATCTGATGCAGCAGTTCTGCCTCTAGGAACTCTGGGCTGCAGACATGCCCACACTGGTGGGCAGAGGTGTGTGGACACCCAGCAAAGCATTGTTTCTGCTATTGAAAAGTCAAAGCATCCTCCACTGCCCACCGGTCAGGGATTGGGCCGATATGGCACATCCATGTTCCAGAAGCAGTACGTCTGTGCTATAGAAACGAGGCAGCAGCTATAGATAGGAGGTGGATCTGTACATACTGGTGTGCAGGGGACCCTGAGACGTGCCGTGAAGCAGTAGAGAGTCTGAGGCCAGGGTCATGGTTTTTATTTTAATTTTAAAAAAAATTTTTTAAGATTCTAATTATTCACAAAAGACACAGAGAGAGGCAGAGACCATAGGCAGAGGGAGAAGCAGGCTCCATGCAGAGAGCCCGATGTGGGACTCAATCTCAGACCCCAGGATCATGCCCTGAGCCAAAGGCAGACACTCAACTGCTGAACCACCCAGGAGTCCCAATCTCACAATTATTTATCAAATAATGTGCATGTGTTTGTAAATGCACAGAGGAAGGACTGGAAAACTATAGTATGTGGATACCTGGGGCCTCCTTGTGGAGGAGGCAGGAGGGGCACCGTCTCCGTGGCGCTCATATCTTAACACCAGTGATAATATCTTGATATAAGTGATGCAGGTCGGAGCTGCGCTGGATTCCCCAATCAGGCCCCTTGATCACAGTTCTGATCAAGGGCCTGAACTCAGGAGCCGGCCATACCTGGGTTCAAATCCTGGCTTTGCCACTTCCCAGCTGTGTGACCTGGGGGGAGTGACTTGAATTCTCTATGCCTCAGTTTCCTCATCAGCAAAAGACAAGATAATGCTAGGACCTACACATACACAAAGGGTTCATTAAATGAGCTGCTGGTATCACTCATGTTTTATGTCGTGTACGTTCTTACCCAAGGAGTATGGATTGCATGAATTAAGAGCAGTTTTTAAAACCAAAATTTAGGGGAACCCTGGGTGGCTCAGCGGTTTCGCATCTGCCTTTGGCTCAGGGCGCGATCCTGGAGTCCCGGGATAGAGTCCCGCATTGGGCTCCTGGCATGGAGCCTGCTTCTCCCTCCTCCTCTGCCTGTGTCTCTGCCTCTCTTTCTCTCTCTCTCTCTCTCTCTCTCTCTCTCTGTCTATCATAAATAAATAAAAATAAATTTAAAAAAATAAAACTGAAATTTAAAAATTGCTGTGGCAGCCAAGAGAGTAATTCTGTTCGGAAGTCCTGTTCTGCCACATTCTGGCTGGTTCATGTAACTTCCCTACCCTTCCGTTTCCTCTTCTGGGAGGTGATAACATCTACCCTGCAGGATGGGGTGAGGTTTAGCGGTAATGGCCACAAGGCACTGGCTCCTAATGTGTTCTAACAGCTCAATATTATTTATTGCTGCTCTCATTTTTTTTTAATTTAAAGATTTTACTTATTTATTTGAGAAGGAGAGAAAGCACCAGCAGGGGGTGGGCAGAGGCAGAGGCAGAAGCAGACTCCCTACTGAACAGAGATTCCTTTTTTTTTTTTTAATTTTTATTTATTTATGATAGTCACACAGAGAGAGAGAGAGAGAGGTAGAGACACAGGCAGAGGGAGAAGCAGGCTCCATGCACCAGGAGCCCGATGTGGGACTCGATCCCGGGTCTCCAGGATCGCGCCCTGGACTAAAGGCAGGCGCTAAACCGCTGCGCCACCCAGGGATCCCTGAACAGAGATTCCTGATGTGGGGCTCGATCCCAGGACCCTGAGACCATGACCTGTGCCAAAGGCAGACGCTTAACCAACTGAGCCACCCAGGCACCTCTTGCTGCTTTTGTTTTGTCAGCGTTGTCATTATCTGCTGCACTGGTGGGGTACCCTGGCAGCGTCCTCTGGCCACCCCCCAGAGTGGCTGTTGTGTCCCTGCTCTCTCTGGCCTGCCTTCATCTCTCTGGCACCATGGGGGGGTGTCCCAACATTGGGGTATCAGTGAGACAAGAACGCGTTTCCTCCCCCCGCAGTCCGTGGGCTCCGTCTATAGCGGCCTGATGCAGGGAGTGGGGGCCGCCGAAAAGGTGTTCGAGTTCATTGACCGGCAGCCAACCATGGTGCATGACGGGAACTTAGCCCCTGAGCGCCTGGAGGGCCGGGTGGACTTTGAGAACGTGACCTTCACCTACCGCACTCGGCCCCACACCCAAGTCCTGCAGGTGAGAGAGGGGTGCCTGAGGCCCGCCCTATCTTCCCTTCCCTCATCCCATCTTGGGTGCAGCTCCTACACATCAGGCCTTGCAGTGTAGCCAGGATTACGTAAGGTGGAGTCCTTGTCCTCGTGGAGTTTGGGCTGTAGTCAGGGAAGGAAGACCATTAACAGAGTATTCCAGATAAAGTGCTAGGAAGGCAGTAAATCAGGGTGGTGTGATAGAGGTAGTTTACAGGGATGGTGTTAACAGTCAAGGAGGGCTTCTCAGAGGAGCGGACATTTGAGCTGGGTCCTGAGCAAGGGGAAGAGGCACCCAGGCAGTGGAAATGAGCATCAAGCTGCTGCCAAATCCTAGAAAGGAGAGCATTTTGAGGGCTGGCAGTGCCCAACCATGGCAAAGAGCACGGGGGAGCTGGGAATGGTGCCCGCCCGTGTCCGAGGCCAGAGCATCTGAGCCAGTGGCCCCACACGGTATCCGCGTGTTCCTTGCAGAATGTCTCCTTCAGCCTGTCCCCAGGAAAGGTGACCGCGCTCGTGGGGCCCTCAGGCAGTGGGAAGAGTTCCTGCGTCAACATCCTGGAGAACTTCTACCCCCTGGAGGGGGGCTGCGTGCTGCTGGATGGGAAGCCCATCAGTGCCTATGACCACAAGTACCTGCACCGAGTGGTACGGAAATGGACCTTTGTTATCCCGCGCACTTTCTTTGTCTGACCTTCACCCCTGTGAGCTGTAACACAAGTATCGAGAAGTGATATAGGTAGATGTATGGGTCAGAGGGTTTCACCAGTGCACCAGCTCCCAGGTCAAGACACAGAACATTCCAGCACTCCTCCACCCCATGTGTCCCTTCTCTTCCCTCCAGGAGCCACATCTCCCTGACTTTTATGATCTTCTCCTTTTCTTTGGTTTTACCATCGCCTTATGTCTCCCCAAACAGCAGAGCTGTGTTTTGCCTCCTTTTGAACTTCACCTGGCTGGAATCGTAGAGCATGCATGCATTCATCTGTGTCTTGCTTCTTCCACTCAGCCTTATTTGTGAAACATCCAGCTTGAGGCTCTGGTTGTAGTTCATTCATTTTCGTTGCTGGATGATAATCTCCTGTGTAAACATGTCACAATCTATGTGTGCATTCTGCTCCTCATGGATGCTTGGATTGTTTCCTGTTTTTACTGTTACCAATAATAATGACAGACAATTTTGTCCATGTTTTCTGGTGTACACAGGTATGTATGTTCTCCCAGAGTGGATGCATAGTATCCACTTTACATTTAGTAGCTATTGTCACTAGAGTGGTCATACAACTTTACATTCCCACTAGCAGTGGATGTGAGTTCTAGTTGCTCCACATTTAAGTCATCTCTAATACTTAAAGGAGGCTATTCATGACCATATGGTTTTTGGTAATTATTTTAGAAAGGGATCCTCAACACCTGATCCTGTGCTAGGTCAAAAAACAGGGATGCCCTGGATGGTTGTTCAGGTGGTACACAATACAAGAAAAACCAACTATCAGGAAGGCACCATTTTCATCATCAACATACATTAAATTATAGGAGAGCCTAAGTGTTGGCACAGAGATTCCAGAACTCCTAGCCATTTTCTAGATGGTGGCAGAGGCCACACATTGTGATATCTGCCCACCCATCTGCACATAACCAGGTGTAGATGGCTGAGCAGTGGTCCCAGGTATATGATGACAAGGCTTCTGCCCACCAGAGTTCTGGAAGTGGCCCTTAGACAGAGCCATTCAGGCTTTGCAATAGCTAATATGCTCAGACTTGTAATATTCTCAGACAGTTAATATTGACAGTGCTGTTTTTGCCAGCTGGTGAGTATACATGTAGAAGTAGTTCACAGCAGTCTTTTGCATTTTCCTAACAACTAAATATATCAAATACTTTTCCATGTGGTTTACTACTTGGATTTCCTCTTTTGTGAATGCCTTCTTTTTAGTTCAAATTAAAAATTTTAATCTTCATAAGCCCCAAACAGTAAAATGCAACAATCTAACCACATTCCCATATATTCAGAGAATTTTGGAATTAAGATGTGAGAGTCCAAAAAAAAAAAAAAAAAAAAAGATGTGAGAGTCCCCCTCCACTTCACCTTTTAAATTCCACTCCGTGTAGGTAACTGTTGTTAGCAGTTTAGTAAATATCCTTTCCAACCTGTTTTCTATCTTGATATAAATGCATTAATATGTAAAGACACATATATACTTTTTTTTCTTTTTTCTTTTTTTTCTTTTTTTGTTTTTTGAGAGAAAGAGAAAGAGGCAGAGGGTGAGGGAGAGGGGAGAGAGATCCTAAGCAGGCTCCAGAGCCAGCACAGAGCCCAACATGAGGCTTGATCTCACCACCCTGAGATCATGACCTGAACCAAAATCAAGAGTTGGAGGCTTACCCAGCTGAGCTACCCAGGCCCCCCTACATATATTTGTTTGTTTGTTAGCAAAAGCAGAGTCATGCTGTGTATATGTATTTGATTTTATGGGTACACTGTGATTATTAGCTAATCCCCAATTTATAAAATTGATTTTTTTTCTATGTGTAATGTTGCAGTGTTACCCTCTATACTCTCATTTTTGTAGGCTATGTTTCGGATACTGAAATCATGGGACAAGCTTCTTTCAATTATTCTCTCTGAAGGGAGGGGGCATCTGGGAGGACTTCATGGCCTGGGGGCCTGCTGTGGCTTCTTGTCTTCTGGCATGGACAGACTTACATTCTACATTCTCTTTCTCTCTCTTTTGGTTTTAAAAATTTTATTTATTTGAGAGAGAGAGAGAGAGAGAGAGAGTACAGGCAGGGGAGAGAGAGAGAAGCAGGCTCTTCACTGAGCAGGGAGCCCAATGTGGGGCTCAGTCCCAGGACCCTGGGATCATGACCTGAGCTGAGGCAGATGGTACACTGACTAAGCCAGCCAGGCGCCCCTCTTCCCTCCCAACTCCCCCAGGACATGGGCAGACAGCGAGCTCTGTTGGAGGTCAAGGAACTTGGCTTAGCCCAGAGCAGCCAACTTATTCTAGGGCCCCAGATTTTTGGTCAGAGGAAGCTGAAGCTTGTGCAGAAAGTAGACTCTATTGTTTTGGAAGAAGAGAGGCAGCTGCTGCTTAGCAGCTGGGCACAGGCCCTGATCAGATTTCCAACCCAAGACCCCTGGCATCAAAAAGGCCTGGGGCTGGCGAGGTTCCTGGTGATAGCTGGATGGATGTGTTCCTGGCCTTTCATGCCCCATCCTTTCTCCTGCACAGATCTCCCTGGTGAGCCAGGAGCCAGTGCTATTTGCCCGCTCCATCACAGACAACATCTCCTACGGTCTGCCCGCTGTGCCCTTTGAGATGGTGGTGGAAGCTGCACAGAAGGCAAATGCCCATGGCTTCATCATGGAGCTTCAGGATGGCTACAATACAGGTATGCAGCCCAGGAGCATCACCTTCACTGAGCCTAAAGGTCAACCCTCAGGGATGCAACCCTGTGAGTTAAGCATTGCTTTCTGTCAGCTGCTCTTTATTATTTCAGGTGAAATTCACTTAACCATCTTAAAGTGAACATTTCAGTGAGATTTGGTACATTTACAGTACCATGTAACCAACCACCTCTATTTATTTTTTCTAATTTTTATTTATTTATGATAGTCACACAGAGAGAGAGGGAGAGGCAGAGACACAGGCAGAGGGAGAAGCAGGCTCCATGCACCGGGAGCCCGATGTGGGATTCGATCCCGGGTCTCCAGGATCGCGCCCCAGGCCAAAGGCAGGCGCTAAACCGCTGCGCCACCCAGGGATCCCCCAACCACCTCTATTTAGTTTTAAACTTTTTTTTTTTTTTTTGAGAGAGAGAGAGAGCATGAGAGCGTGGACAGGGAAGGGGTAGAGGGTGAGGGAGAAAGAGAATCTTAAGCAGGTTCCACCCAGCAAGCCTAGCACAGAGCCCGACATGGGACTAGGTCTCAAGACCCTGAGAGCCTGACTGGAGCCAAAATCAAGAGTCGGTTGCTTAATCTACTTAGCCACCCAGGCACCCCAGGATATTATTTTTATTTTTTAAAAAAATTATATATATATAGCCTAATTTTACATTAGTAAATCAATATTTTAATATATTAATTATTAATTATATATTAATTATATAATATTTAATATATTAAATTTAGCAATAAGTTAATTTATATATTTTGTTCTATTTAATATACTTAAAATTTTAATTCTTGTAAAGGAGCTATTCACATGACTCAAATCTAAAAATATATGTGAAATGCTATACAGTGAAAAGTTTTATCCCATCCCTTTCTCTACTGTTTCCTCCTGGCCCTGTTTCCCTGTTTCCTCCTGGCCCACCAAAAAAAAATTTTTTTTTAAAGATTTTATTTGTTTATTCATAGACACACATAGAGGCAGAGACACAGGGAGAGGGAGAAGCAGGCTCCATGCAGGGAGCCCAATGTGGGACTTGATCCCAGGTCTCCAGGATCACACCCCAGGCTGCAGGCGGCGCCAAACCACTGCGCCACCAGGGCTGCCCCCCACCAAAATTTCTTATGTTTGCTTCTTACATGCCCTTTGGGAGTTTCTTTATGCAAATAGGAATGTATATTTTTATTTCCTCCTGACGTTTTACAGAAAAAAGCCAGCTCCTTATATTCTGCACCCGGCTTGCTTTCTTTCTTTCTTTCTTTCTTTCTTTCTTTCTTTCTTTCTTTTTTTTTTTACTTAACACAGTGTCTTAATCATTGGTCCATATTGTCACTTAGAGACCTGCTCTGTTTTTAAACAGTTGCATAGTGGGGAACCTGGTACTAAATGGTTTGTAGGTGACCTGCTTTTGGGTCAGTGTTTTGTATGTAACAGAGCAGCTCCCTTGCTGTGATCTATTGAAAATTAGCCCTTGACATAAGGGTTTATAAAAAAAAAAAAATTGTTTTCATTGAAAAAAAGAAAAAGAAAAAGAAAAAGAAATAAATAGTTGTATAGTATTTCAGGGCTTATGCTAATTTGCTTAAATAATTCAGTTTCCTGGGTAGCCCTGGTGGCTCTCGGAGGTTTGGCTCAGCCTTGGGCCCAGGGCCTGATCCTGGAGGATCAAGTCCCACGTTGGGCTCCCTGAATGGAGCCTGCTTTTCCCTCTGCCTGTGTCTCTGCCTCTCTCTCTCTCTCTCTCTCTCTGTGTGTGTGTCTCTCGTGAATAAACAAATAAAATCTTAAAAAAAAAAATTCAGTTTCCTGCTGATGGACATTTGAGTAGATTTTTTTGTTTTTATTTGCAATAGTAGTGCTATGAGTGGTGCACAACATGTGCCTTTTGGTACTGTGCATGGAAAGTCAGCCTGTAGGAAAGAGTCATAGAGGTGGGTTTGCTGGTGCAAGGGTTGTACACTTGTACTTGTGATCCATACATTTACACAGTTATCCCAAAGGTGCTTGCCCCAGGAAGATGGGGGAGTGCCTGTCTCCCCACAGCCACACCTGAACAGTGCAGTATCAGACATTGAGATTTTTGCCAAGCTAATAAGTAAAAAGTGGTATCTTAGTACCAATTGAATGTAGTCATAATTTGCATGAACAGGGAGGGAGAGCATCCTTTGGGGAGTTTTGGAACTGTTGGTGGTCCCAGCCGGTGGCACAGGCTCCTTTTCCTGGAGATCACAGCTCCCGTGGCAGCAGGGAAAGGAAGAGGAAGAGGTCTTCTCTCTCTTCCCTAGAGCTGCCCCAACCTTACCCCCTGCTTACTCACCTATGTCCCTTTGTCATGCAGAGACTGGGGAGAAGGGTGCCCAGCTATCAGGTGGCCAGAAACAGCGCGTGGCCATGGCTCGGGCTCTGGTGCGGAACCCACCTGTCCTCATCTTGGACGAAGCCACCAGCGCCCTGGATGCAGAGAGCGAGTACCTGGTGAGTTGCGGGGTGGCGGGGTGACACCAAAGAATGGAACAGGAGCCAGGAAAGGCTTAGAGATGCCATAGGAGCTCTCTCAGGGTGTCAGCCTTCCAGACTGGGGTGTTGAGGGCCGAAGGCAAGGAGCCAGGGTAGGGGACCCCAGGGCCAGATCTGCCCACTGGCTCATATAGAGCTGACACTACATGATAGCAGTTTGAATTCGAGGCCCTGCCCTCAGCTCATCATGAAAGACAGTGTCTCCCACTCTCTGAGCCCCCTTTTCATTGCTAAAGAGTGTCCAACAGTGTATTTGTCACTGAGTAGCTACCTTGGCCCCTCCATAGTTCGAGCCATTGATTACACAGGTGTTCACTGAGCTCCTCCTGGCCACCAGTCGCTGTCCCAGGCACCGAGGTTGCAGTGGTAGGTGACCAGACACACAGGCCACCAGCCCCTATAGTGTTTCCATGCCAGGGGGAGAAACATAATAAACAAAGAGACAAGAATGAGTTCAACCTGTGGCCTATGGTACGTAAAACACGAAACTGTCATCTGAGAGAGAGAATAAGACAGGTCACTCCTGTTGAAGAGAAACATAATCAGATATGGAAGCTGGAAAAACAGATTTTATTCAGTAGCTACTGACAGTAGGAGAAAGAGCTGAGCTCCATTCTCATTGGCACAGAGGTGACAGTGATGACAGGCATTTTAAAAGAGAAGGAAGACAGAAGGAGCGGGGCTCACTGGAAAGCCCATGAAAGCCCATAAGGCAGTGGTGTCTGCTGGCTGGCAACTGTTGGCCAGAATTCTGTCCTCTGTAGAGATTGGGAGACTGAGGCCTGTCTTTCCTGATGATTATATTTAAAAGGAATGGCCTTCAGGTGCTTGAGAAAGGGACAGAAGAAGGATTTACAATTATAAGCCCTTTTTATTAAATGCTCTAAGAAAGGGAGATCAGGGGCCTACCATCAGGTGTTGGCTAGAACAGTCCATTCTCCTGGCAGCACTGAGCATTTAGGGGAGCTGGGTCATCCCAGAGACCAGGTCCTGGTGGACTGTGGCCATCTCATGGGTAGAAGCAGAGTCTTCAGGTGCCATTTAAGCCGAGAGCCAGGAAGAGAGGAGCCAGATGAGCATCCAAGGGCAGCAGGTGCAAAGGCCCAGAACAAGTTAGGCAATCCCAAAGGTCAGCGTGTCAGGCTGGTGGGAGTCTGATAAAGTAAGGTGAGGACAGAGTCATAGGGAGACAGGGCCTCCTCAGGCCTTAGTTATAGAGTTTGGATTATTTTTTTAGAGTTTTGTTTGTTTGTTTGTTTTGAAGAAAAGTTTCAGGTTTAAAGAAAATTGAGCAAAAAGTGCAGATAGTTCACATGTATCTCCTTATTTATTTATTTATTTATTTATTTATTTATTTATTTATTTATTTATTTATGACAGTCACAGAGAGAGAGAGAGAGGCAGAGACACAGGCAGAAGGAGAAGCAGGCTCCATGCACCGGGAGCCTGACGTGGGATTCGATCCTGGGTCTCCAGGATCGCGCCCTGGGCCAAAGACCGGCGCTAAACCACTGCACCACCCAGGGATCCCTCCTTTTTACCCTGCAGGCAGTTTCTCCTATTATTAACATCTTGCTGTGGTGCATTTGTTACAACTGATGAGCCAGTTTTAATGCATTGTTACTAACTAAAGCCCATAGTTTATTTATTTTTAAGCCCATAGTTTACATTAGGGTCACTCTTCATGTTGTGCCCTCTTGTCTATGACAAGTGCAGAATGTCATGTGGCATCTGAATTTTATTCTTTTTTTTTTTTTTTTAAGATTTTGTTTATTCATTTGAGAGAAAGAGAGTGAAAGAGAGAGAGAGAGTATGAGCAGGGGTTGGAACAGAGGGAGAAGCAGACTCCCTGCTGAGCAGGAAGCCCAACATGGGGCTCCATCCCAGGACCCTGAGATCATGACCTGAGCTGAAGGCAGACACTGAAGGCAGTGTTGAAGTGCTCAACCCACAGAGCCACTAAGCGCTCCTGATTGAAATGTTAAATACATGCGGGCAATGGGCGCAGGGCGGTGGGTGGATGGCAGGTTGCAGTATTCAGGGAGCAGTAACAGTGGTAGCAGTGGAAGGATGTAAAGAATGAGATGGAAAAAAAAAAAAGAATGAGATGAACTGAGGAGATGGCACCTGCAGAATTTGTGCATGAGTTGGATTTGGACTATGAGCCGAGCATGAGGAATTGAGGGCCATGTCTCACTGGTTTGAGCTTTGGGGCTGATGGTGAGACCATTAGCCAAGGCGAAGGTTAGTAGAAGGAGCAGGAAGACCAGAGGCGACCAGGTTAGAGCTTGCCTGTCACTGGCCAAGCGCCTTCCTTGTGCCCTACACTGAGCTCTGTCCCCTGTGAACTGAAGCCCGGGAGGCTGGTCATGTGCAAGCCCTGGCCTTTCAAATGAGGAACTGAGTCTCAGAGAGATTAAACTTCACTAGGATGTGGTGGATCTGGGAGCCGAGCCAGGCCCAGGCAGAGTTGTAGGTGGCTGGGGCGGTGCCCGCAAAAGCCGGCCCCCTCCTGTCTCCCCAGATCCAACAGGCCATCCACGGCAACCTGCAGAACCACACAGTGCTCATCATCGCGCACCGCCTGAGCACGGTGGAGCGCGCACATCTCATCGTGGTGCTGGACAAGGGCCGCGTGGTGCAGCAGGGCACCCACCAGCAGCTGCTAGCACAGGGTGGCCTCTATGCCAAGCTGGTGCAGCGGCAGATGCTGGGGCTCGAGCCCGCCTCGGACTACTCAGCTGGCCTCAAGGAGCCGTTGGGCAGCGGCGGTCACAAGGCCTGACCACAGGCCCTGCCTCTCACAGTGGGGCAGATGCCCTGGTGCCTGCCTGGCACATGTACCCATGGGGGCCACCCTGCTGCCCTCTGAGCCCAGGCCCATGGCACTGGAGGGCAACCTGCCGTGTCCCATGTGTCACTGCTTCCTGCATCTTGCCCCCATTCCTGCCCTGTCACCCTGTCCGCTGGGCCACCGCCAGCCCACACCCCCCCTTCCCCACTGCCATGAGCCACCTCCTCCATTCGGGGCAGCGGAGACAATGCTGGTCTCCATCTGGTCTCCCAAGACTTCTAAGAGAAGGTAGAGCTACCTTTTTAAACCAAGATCTTACCAGGTTTTTTACTGCTTGGTTTCATGGGTGCCAGTCAACTCTTAGACTTCAAAAACATTTTTTTAATTGGGAGTAATGATGGGCAAGGTCACTGAGATATTCCAGAAACTTCTGAGCCAGGAGTGAAAGATCCTAATAGGCTGGGGGATGTCAGAGGAGAACGAGGCCTCTGTCCCTCGAGAGAAGGGGCTTCCCTGTCCCTTCTGGGGACTTTCTCTCTCACTCTTCCCACCTCTGTGAGTCAGGCCAAGGGTCGGCAGCGAGAGTGGAAAGCACCAGTCTGCCCATGGTCCCTGCCGCCCTGCCAAATCTAAGCCAGTCTCACTGTGAACCACAACTAACCTTAACTGGGGGGGGGAGTGAGGGGCTGGCCAGGCCTGACAAAGCCTCAGGGTGTCCCCAGCCCTGCACCCACCTTGAGCCCCTCGATCCTGCCTCATCCCCTGCTCCCATTATACCCCCTCCAGCGGCAGCCACCTCTCCCACATCCACCCCTGCTGCTCTGCTCTTCGGAGGCTCGGAGGCCCTTCGGATGTTGGATGTTTGAGAGACACGTTCTCTTCCCTGTCTGGTGGACAGGACAGTGGCAAAGCTCAGGCTCTGGCTTTGCAGGGGTGGGGGTGGGGGAGCATTGCAAGATGTTGGAAGAATCCGGTCAATAAAGTGTACTACCTCTGATCCCTGACCTCTAACCTCTTCCTGGGCCCTCTGCCCCATCACCTAGTTAGGTTTCTCCATCAGACCTAGCCTGAAAGATTTGGGTTGTATGGTGCCTTCCCCCTGCTGCCACCCAGGGTCTGGGAGCCCCCTATCTGTGCTATTCATGTCCCCAGGATCTCCAGCAGAGATGGATTATTCATGTCTGTCCAACTGTCTCCATGGGGCTTGTTCAGGGTAAGAGACCTGTTTGCTTAAAATCCATGGGACCTCTGTGCCTCCCAGGAAAGCCAAGATCCGGCAAATGCCACCTGTTCTTTTCCATCAGAGACCAAGTACCCCATGGAGCCAACAAGTCTTCCCTAACAGCTCAATCAGAAAAGAGGTTGTAAGACTGGACACAAGAAGAGTCTTGTGGTGGTTATTCTTACTTGCTGGATTGTGAGGAAGTCTGGGGTCCTAGGAGAGGGCCGGGGACAGTGGCTATTTACCAAGTGCTGGAGAAGTATCTCCAGTATTGTAACTACCAGTATAGTCACACTACATATATCAGCTCAATATACCCATCTTCCTGCTAGATAACTGACCTAAACAGTGACTAAGTCTCCTGCTTCATCTCAGGGGCTTGAGAAAACTGAATCACAGGGAGGTTAAGCTACTTACTCAAGACCACTAGCTAGTAAGCGGTAGAGCCCAGCTTCACACCCGAGAAGCAGGTGTGTGTGTCTGATCCCAACCATGGAACACCTGTAAGAGTGGAGCTCTAAGGCACAGGTCGAGGAGAGGGTATTGACTTCACAGCAAAGACCTTAGGTCAAATGTTGGAACAAGTTCTCAAACAGAAGTGCCTCCAGGAACCAGGTAGGTATCAGAAGTGTGTGAAATCAGCCAGGTGTAAGAAAAATCAGACAACTGCATTCTTGGTTTCTTTTCTGCTTTTCCACTTTTGCAAAGGAGCGGAGACACCTTTCTGTTTCATTAAAAGGAAGGTACAAGGACGCCTGGGTGGCTCAGTCAATCAGTTGAGCATCTGCCTTCATCTCAGGTCATAATCTCAGGGTCCTGGGATTGAGCCCTGCATTGGGCTCCCTGCTCAGCACACACTCTCTCTCAAATACATACATACATACATACATACATACATACATATATACATACCTAAAATCTTTAAAAATTAAAAAATGAGAGAATACAGTGCAAGGCTGAGAATAACTGGCAGCCAAGGCCTCGTACCTGTTTAGTGGGAATGGCTGGGACTTGTCTACAGCCCCTTGAGGCCATGCAGGAAGGTGACCTTGACTTAGCAGATGTGCAGAGATTTTTGGAGAAGCTGGAAATTCTAGTTTTAATGTGAGATTGACTGCTTTTTTTTTTTTTTTAATTTATGATAGTTACACACACACAGAGAGAGAGAGACAGAGACATAGGCAGAGGGAGAAGCAGGCTCCATGCACCGGGAGCCCGATGTGGCATTCGATCCCGGGTCTCCAGGATCGCGCCCTGGGCCAAAGACAGGTGCCAAACCGCTGCGCCACCCAGGGATCCCCAGATTGACTGCTTTTTATAGACTGGCTCAAATTAGTTTTACAAAACCCAGGGCCAAAAAACCCGAGACAGACTTCAGCTGGGGTCACCAGTTTGCAATCTCTATGCTGGACATCCTAGTCCTCCAGAGTCCTTGGAGCTTCCTCCTCTAGGAGTGTCCCCCTGCCAGAGGCCCCCAGCCCAGCCCCACCCCAGCCCATGCTCCTCTCTCACCCCCTTCCCACTGCCCCTCTCTTTGCCTTGCCACCACTATCCCCCACACTCTATGTACTTTCCCATGCCAGTGTCAGTTCCAGCTCCCCGGTTGGCAAACCTGAACCCAAAAGCAGGCCCTAGGCAGACAAAAGAACCTTCCAGAAGCCAAGCAAGCTGCTTTTTAGAAGGCAGATATGATCTTTTAAATAAATGATTTACTTTGGGCTAATTTTAGTATTTTTAAAAAATATTTTATTTTTTTATATGAGAGCACAAGTGGGTGGATGGGTAAAGGGGAGGTGAGGGAAGGGGCAGGGGAGAAGCAGATTCCCCACCAAGCAGGAAGCCCAATGTGGAGTTTAGTCCCAGGACCCTGAAATCATGACATGAGCCAAAGGCAGACGCTTCACTGACTGAGCCCCCCAGGTGCCCTGGGGTTAATTTTAGTATTACAGAAAACTTGCAATGAGGCAGAAGGAGTTCCCATATAGCCCTCAGCCAATTTCCCTTCTGTTCCCATCTCACATGATCATGGCACACTTATCATAACCAAGAAAACAACACTGGCCTGTCACTGTCCATGAACTCCAAGCTTTTTTTTTTTTTCTATTTCACCAATTTCCTGTTAACGATGGGTTTTTTGTTGTTGTTGTTATTCCAGGATCCAATTTAGGGTGACACATTGCACTTAAAGATTTCTTTAAAATTGTTTTTACTCTAGTAAAATACAACATAAAATTTACTATTAATGGCATTTAGTACCTTCACAGTGCGGGACAATCATCAGCATCTTCTAGTTCCAGAACATTTTTATCCTTTCCCCCCCAAAAAAGCCCATCCCATTAATAGCCCCCTCCCTCAGCCCCCAGCACCCACCAGTGCATTGTCAGTAGATTTGCCCCTTCTGGACATCTCCTACAGGTAGAATCATATAGTATGTGGCCTTTTGTGTCTGGCTTCTCTCACTGAGCATCTTGTTTGCAAGCCTCATCCGGGTTGTAGCAGGTGTCAGTACTCTCCATTTCTCTTTATCGCTGAGTTGTCCTTTATTATGTGGATGGACCACATTTTGTTTATCCCTTCATCTCTCGATGGACACTTGGGTTGTCTCCACCTTTTGGCTGTTACGAATGGGGCTGCCGTGAGTATTCATGTCTTCATGTGGATTTATGTTTTCATATCTCTCAGATAGACAACTAGGACTGAAATGCTGGGTCATAGGGTCACTCTTTGGTTCACATTTTGAGGAACCACCAAACTATCTCCATGCTGCACCATTCCTTTGACATTCCTGCCAGCAAAGTAGTAAGATTCCAGTTTCTGCACATCCTCACCAATGCTTGTTATTCTCTGTTTTCATTTACTTATAATTTTGAATTGCAGTCATCCTGGTGGGTCTGAAGTGGAGAGCCATGATTTTTGAAGTAGACTTTTTCTCCTTTGTAATTAATTGAGCAAATATGGTGGAGCTCTTCTGTCCCAGGTACCATGCAAGGCAATCAGGGAAAACCATTGCAGCCAAGCCCTCGGGGAATGCCTGGTCTGCTGGGGACCCAGACAAGGAAATAAGGAAGGATGGGATAGAATGGAGATGGGCATAGGGGCTGTGGGGACCCAGAGGAGGCTTAGTCCTGGTGTAAGGACCCAAGAAGAGGACAGAGGCAGGGCTGTCTTTGCACTGACATGCAACCTATGTTGAAATTTTTGAACAAGGGGCGCTACATTTTCATTTTGCACCAGGCCCTGCAAATTCTGTAGCTTGTCTTGGGTAGTTATCCTAGCTTGAGGCAGGGGTCTGGGGAAGCCTCTATACCCAGCTGCATCTTTACCATCTGGAGGAGGGGGCTTTCTTTTTTTCTTTTTCTTTTTTTTCTTTTTAGCCTGGGCATTTCTCACCTGCTGAACCCCTGCTAGAGGTCACCCCTCCCCTCTTGCTGCCTCCTCTCTCTTCCAAGCTGATCCCTGAAGCTGAATGAGTACAGTAGGCAGCAGATGAATTCTTCCAAACAGCTGGTCTCGGCAGACTGTTGGGAGGAGGCTGTTAATCTGATTTGAGGTCAGTCAAAGCTGACAGCTCTGGAGACAGAAAGCCAGCACCTTAAGATGCTCGTCATCAGCTGGAGAGCTGGAGAGGATGCTGAAGGTAGGCTCTGTGGGGCCAAGCAGCCTCACCTGGGTCGTAGGAAGGATCGTCCCTCTCTCCATTGCCCAATGGCAGCGCCAGGGCTCTCACCCCACCGCAAGCTCCCAAATCTGTTTTTCTTTCTTTCTTTTTTTTTTTTAAGATTTTATTTATTCATGAGAGACACACAGAGAGGCAGAGACACAAGCAGAGGGAGAAGCAGGCTCCCTGCAAAGAGCTCGATGTGGGACTCGATTCTGGATCCCGGGATCACGCCAAAGGCAGACGCTCAACTGCTGAGCCACTCAGGTGTCCCCCAAATCTGCTTTTCTCTCCAAATCTGAGACCTTCCCTACCTCAGGAAATTTCCATAACTCATGGGCTCAGAAATCCATTATCCTCCGTTTTTTTTTTTTTTTTAAGATTTTATTTATTTGACAGAAAGAGAAGTCAAGAGTGGGGCATGGAGGGTGTGGAGGCAGAGGGAGAAGGAGAAGCAGACTCCTCGCTGAGCAGGGAGCCCAATGCAGGGCTCCCTCCCAGAACCCTGAGATCATGCCCTGAGCCCAAGGTGACGCTTCACCAACTGAGCCACCTAGGTGCCCCATGATTATTTTTCTAGATTATTTTTCTCTTGGGTACCAAGTATTGGTGTGGGTGTGGGGATATAGAAATTCTCATTTAGGGTCACAAGAGTGCAGATCAGGACAACCAAAGTTGAGATGAGCAAACTGTACAACCCATAGTTCTGCCCTCTGTGTGCCTTAGAGGAGTGCCTTTAGAAAATGTTTTTTAGGGACACCTGGGTGGCTTAGCGGTTGAGTGCCTGCCTTCAACTCAGGGCGTGATCCAAGAGTCCCAGGATCGAGTCCCACATCAGGCTCCCTGCGGGGAGCCTGCTTCTCCCTCTGCCTGTGTCTCTCCCTTCTGCCTGTGTTTCTCATGAGTAAATTTTTTTTTAATTTTTATTTATTTATGATAGTCACACACAGAAAGAGAGAGAGGCAGAGACACAGGGAGAGGGAGAAGCAGGCTCCATGCACCGGGAGCCCGACGTGGGACTCGATCCCGGGTCTCCAGGATCGCGCCCTGGGCCAAAGGCAGGTGCTAAACCGCTGCGCCACCCAGGGATCCCTCTCATGAGTAAATTTTAAAAAAT